TAAAATGTTCAATCCCCATCCTGAAAGGCAAAGAGGATGGACATCAGAAGAAAAAGAAAATAGGAAACAACCTCGGAACCTGCTACAGAGGGCCTCTGAAAGCCAGAAGAAAACAGGAAACAACCTTGAAACCTGCCACAGAGGGCCTCTGAAAGCTTCTGCAGTATAGACTGTCAAAGCAGATGCTGAGCCTGATAGCCAACTGATGGGCAGAGTGAATGGAATTCTATGTAAGAAGTGGGAAATAGTAAGAGCTGGAGAGGACGGGAACTCCACAAGGAGAGCAACAGAACAAGATAATTTGAACACAGGGAACTTCCCAGAAAATCAGACTCCAACCAAGGACTATTCGTGGAGATGACCTGGAACCCCTGCACAGATGTAGCCCATGGCAGTTAAGTGTCCAAGTGGGTTACATAGTAATGGGAAGAGGGACTGCCTCTGACATAATCTGATTGGCCTGCTCTTTGATCACCTCCCCCTGAGGGGGGAGCAGCCTTACCAGGCCACAGTAGAGGACAATGCAGCCACTTTTGATGAGAACTGATAGACTAAGATCAGAAAGGAGAGGAGAACCTCCCCTATCAGTGGACTTGGGGAGTGGCATGCATGCAGAAAGGGGAGGGAGGGTGGGATCAGGAGGGGAGGAGGGAGGGGCTTATGGGGGGATACAAAATGAATAAAGTGTAATTAATAATAATTAAAAAAAGTTTTTATTTTACACAGTTGGTGATGTGCTGTGGCTTTACACACACTTATACACACAATCTGAATTTGTACTATACATCATATATATGTATATGTAGCAATAAATACTAATTAAATGTATGAAAGTCTTCTTTGTTCTCACCTGACCTGGACCAGAAGTGAGATGGTCCTGAGAGAGAGGTCCAGGAGGTAAGAAGATAAGGAGAGAGGACATAGAGAAGGTAAAAACCGAGATTCAGAGGTCTTGCACACAGCCTTGAAAAGTTGTGTGTGAGGATACAAAGACAAAATCCTCCAAGGTTCTGGCCTCAGACCATTACTGGCTCTATCTAGCTTGTTCCTGGTTCTAGAGAAGGAGCTGTGTTTCCTCTCTATACATCAGGTCCTCAGGGAAAGCATTGCTAAATAGGGCTGTCCACACTTACTAATGATTCTTAGAATTTTATACTGTGATCAATAGCTAAGGTCATGTTTATCTCCATTGGTATCTGCTGAGTTATGCTGCAAAATACTCTGCAATCTTAATGGTTAAATACTAAGTTTATGACTCATTATACATGTCCATCATGGATCAGTATAGGCTTTGTTCATATGTTTGTTGTTGTAGACTTTTGTTGCTAAAACAGCCTCCATCTTAGACATGATTGGTTCCATATCATGGGAAAAAAAATCAAGGAAGTCACATCCTGGCAGTTAAACACTGTCCTGGAAGTGATACATATAATTTGCACCCTGAGCTCACTGACCAGGAGATGTTACAATTTCATGAACTTATATAAGTAAAAGGGAGCCAAGTACTAATGTCCCACTCTCCCCAAATGACCGACACTTAACAGTCACCAGTTGGGTATGAGATATTAAAGATCTGCAAAGGGAAGAAAATTTTAAGACTCCCTCATATGAAAAATTACAGAAGGCTCTGTGTAGAGGGCTCAATTTTAAAGTGTTTGCCATGTAACTTAAAGACATCCTGTGTTCAATCCCCCAAGCCCAAGTAAAAAGCCAGACACAGGAGTGTGTGCCTGTCATCCCAGATCTGGAGAGGCAGGAACAGGAGGATCCCTTGGGCTTACTGGCAGCTTAGCCTAATCAGGGAATACCAAATCCTAATGAGAGATTCTGTCTCAAAAAATAAGGAATGCTCATTCCAAAATGTGAAGTCTTTATCACACCTCTCCCAAGGCTCAGAGATCTATATAGAAGGGACAGAAAGATTACTGTATGATCAGAAGTTTTGGACAACTTCAAGGAAACAGTGTCTTCTGGACACATCAGGGCTGATGCACATATGAACTCACAGTCACTGTAACAGCATGTATAAGACTTATACAAGATCAAGCCTGAAAAAAATTTCAATAAGGAAAAAGGGAAATGGGCACAAATTCTCACCATTAGCCAAGAAGCTATTTCCAATCAGTAGCTACTGGGAAGGTGAAGATAACTTTTTCCCCCCCAATGGAGTAAAACTAGATGTGTCAGCCATATTCCATTGGCAATAGTTGGCCAACACAAACAAAAGCAGTTTTTGTTTAATCAAGAGAGGCAGAACATAAAGTTGGGTGTGCAAGAAGCTGGTAAGGGAGGATCTAGAGGTGTTCAGGGAACAGGAGAAAATATAATCAAAATATATTTTATGAAATTCTCAAAATAGTGGCTAAAAGCGTAAAAAAATATTATGGTAGATGATTCCTGAGGAATTTTAGAGATTGAGCTGTGACCTTCACATGCACACAGGCACTTGTATTTCTTCCCCCCACCATGCACACCCACATGTGCCCATTATGCGTATAATTTCAACACTTAGAAAGCAGAGGAAGGATGGCTACCTTGGGCTACATACAGTGGAAAATTTTCTCCAGCTAGAACTTCCACCCCCTCTCTCCCAGCAGCAGTAAACATCGACACAAACAAAAGAACATCATAGAATAAACAATCAACCAAGGAGAACAAGGAGAACCCTAGAACCCTTAATTCTCATTCAGGATGGCAAACAGGATAGACATTAGAAGCTGTGGAAGAGAGGAAATAGAACAGGAGCCTACCACAGATGTGGGGATCTAAGCAGATGCAGAGACTCACAGGCAAACTTTGGGCAGAGGGAAGGGAGTCTTATGGAAGAAAGGAGGGATTAGAAGGTCCTGGAGGGACAGGAGCTCCACAAGGAGTCCAACAAAGCCAAAATATCTGGACCCAGGTGGGCCTGTAGAAACCGATGCATCAACCAAGGACCATTCGTGGAGAAGACCTACTCCCTCCTGCTCAGATGTAGCCCATGGGCAGCTCAGTCTCTATGTTGGTTCCGAAGAAAGGGGACCAGGGGCTGTCTCTGAAATGAACTCTTGTTGCCTGTTCTTTGATCACTTCTCCCTGGCAGTGCGGCCCTGCCAGCCTACAGAGGAATAGGATCCAGGCAGTCCTGATGAGACTTGATAGGTTAGGGTCAAAAGGCAAGGGAGGAGGACTCCCCCTTTCAGTGGACGAGGGGAGAAGAATAGGGTGGAAGAGGGAAGATGGGGCCGGTAGGAGATGAGGGAGAGGGCTACAATCAGGATATAAATGAATAAATTATAAAGAGATAAAAATTTAAAAAATATAAAAAAGAAAAATTATGTTGACCAAGTGTTCTTTGAAGATATTGTGAATGCTTGTGGCACTGAAATGTAATGTTTTTCCCATCCTTTGTTGATTTTCTATAAGCATAGCTTTTCTCCCTATGTGTAAAAATTGGATAGGTGCAGCTCTTTCCTAGTGATTCACTTTTGGTACCCTGAGTAGAATTTTGCTCCTTGAACACTAGGGACAGATTCAAGGCTTTCTGGACACTCCTTTCTGTTCTACACATTCTAGCAAACTCTTGGTTACTATCTGCTAATACGTTTGGTTCTCTGTCTTATTTCTCACCTGTTTTCATTCATTGAAGTTGAGTCATTTTATTACATAAACAGTAATGTAATGTCAGATAGAACTTTTTGTATATTTTCATTTGGAAAGAGGAAGTATGGTCAGAAATGATAAGAAGGGAGGCAGTGAGTTCTGGGCACAGGGGTCTATTCTGAGACTGATTCTCCAAAGAAGGACCATACATGGATATAACCTAGAACCCCTACTCAGACATAGCCCATGGCAGCTCAGTATCTAAGTGGGGTCCCCAGTAATGGGAACAGGGACTGTCTCTGACATGAACTCAGTGGCTGGCCTTTTGACCTCCCCACCACCTGAGGGAGGAGCAGCCTTGCCAGGCCACAGAGGAGGACATTGCAGCCAGTCCTGATGAGATCTGATAAGCTAGGGTCAGATGGAAGGGGAGGAAGACCTCCCCTATCAGTGGACTTAGAGAGGAGCAGGGAGGAGATGAGGGAGGGAGGGATTGGGAGGGAATGACAGAGGGGGCTACAGCTGGGATACAAAGTAATTAATATAAAAAATTAAATTTTAATTAAAAAAAGAATGGAGGCATGCATAAGGGAAATGGAAGAGAAAAGGCAGTTTAGGTTAGAGTTCATCAGAGGTCATGGAATTAAACAGGTCATCTGTTAAAATTAGAGAGCAAGTTTCTGAATCATTGAATAGTTGATGCTGGAGTGGTAAAAAATTGACTTCCCTTATCTTTCCTATTTGTTTTAATTGCAAATGATCCCAAATATTGTTGAATAGTTCTTCATACTAAGAAGACAGTGATTTCCACTTATATTCAGAGTCCTTGTTCCATCCTTGGCAGAAATACCAATAGAACAATGTCTAAGCCCAATTTTCAGTATCCTGGTCCTACCACAGACTGTCATGAGTAGCATTCTCCCAAGCAAACATAGCAAGAATTTTCCTACACAATAAGTGCCAAATTTCATAAGGCTCTTATAAATTTATTGGAGAAATTATCATTCCAAAATACTGAAATTTAAGAGTTCCCACTACAGGAAAAAAAAAAAAGAGTATTCTTTTACTTTCCTTTTCAACTATGAATGCGTTTCCACAAAGAAAATGCTTTTTTAATAAGTCCTACTGTAGTGACCACTGGCAAATTTTTATTAAAAACGTTTCTTCAGAGCTATATGAATTAACAAAAACTGAATTGCTCTTGGTTTATAATAATCTGTCACAATGAAAATGTTCTTGTGATAGAATTAAAGAGAACGTAATGGAGTAAATTGGACTACCTTTTCTGATTTTCCCAAATTGGTAGAAACAACTATCCATTGGAGACCTTTCTTTTTATAGCTTTTATTTTTATGATAAGGATTACTTCTTCAGCATTGTAGTATTTAATATATTCACAAGAATATCTATTTGTACAGGTGGTTGAAGTTTGAAGAAGACGTGGAAGATGGAGGAGAAAGATGGAGTAAGCCCTATGTGGCTACACTTTCATTACATAGCTTGTTTGAGTTGAGAAGCTGTGTTCTGAATGGAACTGTGCTACTGGACATGCATGCCAATACTTTAGAAGAAATTGCAAGTAAGTCTTTTTGTTACCTTAGTCTATTTAATTCTGATTAGTTCAGCTGATTTTCTTATTGCTTTTTCTGAAATGCCATATATGTGTGAATAGTGAAAAATAAGTCCTCATGATCTGTGTAAGGGACATTAAAATAAATTTCTCCTCTCACTTCATTTGAAATAAAAATTAATTGATATGAGATAAACCTCATCTCACGTTTAAATAATGATCTATTGCAAGAAAATTGATAACCAAATCTTCTTGAATATTTATTATTTTTATTAGCATGTTTACACCACAAAGAAACTAATGTTTAGAAAGTTAAAGGTGTTTCTCGAAAGAGTTTGTTTCTCTGAATTACCTTTAGAACTTGATTAGTTAGAATAAGATTTGTACTTGATGTATGTAATGTATCTGGCAAGTTCCCTAGGCTTGTAACACTGACCTCAGAGCATAAAGTTAGGAGTTCAGTTAATTTTCTTTTTTAAAAAACTTTTCTATTATTATTTCTATTATTATAATATATTCACTTTGTATCCCAGCTGTGGCCCCCTCCCTTGTCTCCTCTCAATCCTACCCTCCCTCCCTTTTCTCCCCTTATGCCACCCCCCTAGTATACTGCTAGGGGAGGTCTTCCTCCCCTTCCCTCTGACCCTATTCTATCAGGTCTCATCAGTACTGGCTGTGTTGTCTTTCTCTGTGGCCTGATAAGGCTGCTCTTCCCTCAGGGGGAGGTGCTCAAAGAGCCACTACTGAGTTCATGTCAGAGACATCTGAGCAGGGGTTCTAGGTCCTTTCCATTCATTGTCCTTGGTTGGGGTATTAGTCTCTGCAGGGCCCCCAGGGGCCAGTTTTCTTGGCTCTGTTGGTCTCCTTGTTGAGCTCCGGTCCCCTCTAGGTCTTTCTATCTCACCCTTCTTTCATAAGATTCCCTGCACTCTGCCCAAAGTTTTTCTATGAGTCTCAGCATCTGCTTCAATACCTCAATCAGTAGAGTCTTTCAGAGGCTCTCTGTGATAGGATCCTGTCCTGTTCCCTGTCTTCTGCTTTCGATGTCTATCACTTTTGCTCTTCTGAATGAGGATTGAGCATATTCCCTAGGGTCTTCCTTGTTGTTTAGCTTCTTTAGTATAGATTTTAGTTTGTTTATCCTATATTATATGTCTAATATCTACTTATTAGTGAGTATGTATCATGTGTGTCTTTCTGCTTCTGGGTTACCTCACTCAAGATGACCTTTTCTAGTTCCCACCATTTGCCTGCAAATTTCATGCTTTCCTTGTTTTTAAAAGCTGAGTAGCTGAGTAGGATTCCATTGTATAAATGTACCACAATTTCTGTATCCATTCCACCATTGAGGGGCATCTAGGTTGTTTCCAGTGTCTGACTACTATAAATAGAGGTGCTACAAACATGGTTGAACTAATGTCCTTGTATAGCTGAGCATATTTTGGATATATGCCTAGGAGTGGTATAGCTGGGTTGAATGTGATTTCTAATGTTTTCCTTAGGAAGTTACTGTGTCCAGGAAATCTACAGTAATTTAACTTTTGTTTCATAGACTTAATTGCCTGTTTCTTTATCCCTTCTGCCTTTTTTTGCTCAGCTCAGTAGACAAAGTGAAGATGGGCTGCGTTCAATTTAGTTTTCTGCAATTACATTCTTTAAATCTATTCTTGCAATGAAAGTAGTTCAGTAGACCCCGATACCCCAAATAGCTTTTTATTCTTCTTTCTGCTTTTTTAAACAGTCTGTCTTTTGGTCTGACTCCGAAGTAGCCTAACTTGAATGTTCCGATTTCAGGGTAGAGCATTTTGTAGACTACCATTCAGGATGGCAGAAGTTTAGAGGTAACAGTAAGCAGAAAAATACAGGTTTTATACATAACTGTGTTGACCACTTTTGTCTCATTTCTTTTTCAGTGATGAATAAAAGATTCATAACAACAATGTGACTTTGAAGTAAAAGATATTTACATCAGCCTTCATTAAAATTTTATTATAATGTTTTCCCTATGTCTTATATTTTCTTTTTATATTTATTCATGTTATGATCATTTACCTTTATTACATTTAGTAAATAGATATGCCTTACATAGATAGGTCTTCTAAACTTTGCAGTTTGTTGTTTTCCATCATATCTTACTGTTTAGTAATCTTTAAATGTAGTATGGAAGCTATTTTTTCCATCTTAAAAAGCAATGAATAGAACTAGTATCTTCAAGGTGATATTTGCAGATATGGAAATAATTTCTTTGAATTAACCTACAATCATAAAGTTGCTTTTGTTTATGATCCAAATGATTTTAAAAACTAGTAATTTTTTCTTATCATTAATTATTTCTCTATTTTAGGAAGTTATAAGCTATATCCATATACTGATGGATAGTTTCTATTTTCCAAAAGCTAAATTTGTTTTTCCTTAAAGACTCCACATCCTGTTATTTCAGAAATGTATAAAGTCTGCAGAATTACTTCTTTCTAGACAATTGTTTTGAGGGGAACCAGAGTTAGATATTGTTTTTGAGTGGTGAAATATTTTACATCACTGTTTTGATTTTTTTTTTTTGCATCATTTTCGATATGCTTTTAACAGACTCACATAATTCTTTAAAGAGATTTTGTTAGATTTAGTAGCAGAAAATCCCATTTGTATCTGGCAGGTCTGTCAAGAATTTCTGGTATAATTAAAGTAGGATTTTCTTTTGAATGAAGTTAATTGAAAACATATCTATTTCCCTGTGTTTCAGGGAACTCAATAAATCTAAACTGTATCCATCAAAATATTACTTAACCTTTTCAAATAAAAAAATCTCTAGTTATAATTTCTTACCATGATTTATTCTGATGTAGAGATTAATTATGTTGAAAATGTTTCCTACTTATATTCATATACATTGTAGACAATATGGTCTGTGCTAATCTCTTTAAAACTCAGCATTATAAAGATTAAATATGGAAATATTCTCTTTGAAGTGTGAATACTTTACCCTGATTCTGTCAATGAAAGTTAGAAAGAAATTAAAACCAAGCTAAAGTTAGTATCATGGACAAATTATCAATCATGGCTCATAACTCATTTAAAAAAAAACTCTTTTGTTACTTAAACTTTTTCACGGGAGGATAAATTATTAATTAGCTGGCTGCTCGGAATGCAAACTAAAGACTGGTATGAGAATGCATTATTTAAAATCAGATATATGTCCACTCCAGGTCTTTCTGTTTCCTCTTCCAATAAGATTCTCTGCACTCCACCCAAAATTTGTCTATGAGCCTCACCATCTGCTTCCATACCCTGGTGGGTAGAGTCTTTCAGAGGTCCTCTGTGGAAGGCTCCTGTCTTGTTCATTGTCTTCTCTTACTTCCGATGCCTATCCTGTTTGCCTTTCTGAGTGAAGTTTCAGCTACTTCCCTAGGGCCCTCCTTGTTGTTTAGCTTCTTTAGGACTATATATTTTATTATGTTTATCTTCTATTATCTGTCTAATATTCACTTATAAGTCAGTATATACCCTGTGTGTCTTTCTGCTTCTGGGTTAACTCAGGATGATCTTTTCTAGTTCCATCCATTTGCCTGCAGATTTCATGATTTCCTTGTTAGAAATAGCTGAGTAGTATTCCGTTGTGTAAATGTGCCATAATTTCTGTATCCATTCTTCGGTTAAGGGACATCTATGTTGTTTTCAGATTCTGGCTATTATGAATATAGCCATAAGGAAACCAACAGAGCCAACAAATCGGGACCCATGGGAGCCTGCAGAGACTGTTGCACCAATTAAGGACCATGCATGGAAAGGACCTAGACCCCTTGCTTGGATGTAGCTGATGGGCAGCTCAGTCTTCATGTTGGGTTCCTAGTAACAAGAGCAGGGACTGTCTCAGACATGGACTCTGTTCAACCTGGACTTTGATCATTTCCCTCTAGTGGGGAGACCATTAAGGAAAGAGATGCAGGCAGTCCTGTTGAGACTTGATAGGCTGGGGCTAGATGGTAGGGGAGGAGAGCTCCCCAATTCTGAGAAATAGGGGAGCGTAATAAGGGGGAAGATGGAGGGAGGGTGGGAATGGGAGGAGAAGAGGGAAGGGGCTACAATCGGGATGTAAAGTGAATAAATTATAAAAAAAATAAGTTTAAATAAAAAAGAACAAAACAAATCAGTTTCATGCCACGTGTAAAGGCACATACATTTAATTCCAGCAGAGGCGATCAGGACTCTGTGAATTTGTGTCCTGTCTGGCCTGCAAACTAAGCTGCAGACCAGCCAGGGATACATACTGCAACCCCGTCAGAAACAAAACAGAGCCATTAAACCAGGTTAATATTATGACAATCCTTAGTCTACAAAGTTAACTATTGTAGTTAGTATCCACAATGCTGTTGGTAATGGCAGCCGAGAAGAACTTCCCACTTCCTCCCCACTCCTGCCTCTTTCTCTAGAAAGTTAAGGCAATGAATTTTCAGACCATTTATGTAATAAAGTTGAAGAAGGCAGAGATTTATACACTTTTTGAAAAAAATCATGACTTCTTGGGTCTGTTGGTAATCCCGATGGGTTGATTATACTTAAGCAATTACTTACTTATTATGAAAAAATGATTCTTCAGTTTCCATGTCTAAAACACAAGCACCAGTAGCTTTTGTAGCATGCTTTAAGTTAGAACAATGTGTTCTGTCTTTTTCTTTTTACTTCTTTTTTAAACAAGATCCTGGCATAGGGCTTTGGCAAGCTCACTATATTAGGCACCGTGGCCTGCTGGGTGTTAGGACTTGATTCTGGTCCAAAGCCATTATGGTTCATTGTTCCTTCCTACTTCTCTAGTATGTGCTATTGTGATGAAGAGAACAATGTAGGTGATGACTGAATCATATTCTACCTTTGGTGGTTTATTCTCACCCCACTGTGCGTTTATTCTTCAGCAAGATGATTAACCTTTCTAGCTCACCTATACATTCTGTAATGTGGATATGACTTAGATGTATGGGCTATTTTTTGTGTGGCTAATGAACAGATGAGTATTTTTTGAACCAATTTTAATTTCTCCTATGTATCTGCTTGAAATAAATGTCTTATCTCTCTATAACTATAAGGTAAAAATGAGGGGATTTTTGTAGTGCTCAAGTGATAGTGTTCCACTAGAATTTTAGGAATAATTTTATAACATGTAGGTTTTTATATGATCAATTTCAGTTCTGGTTACCATACTGAACAGTGTGGTCATAATAGTTTTTTGGGGGGTCTGCCTTAAAACTGTATGTTAGTGTGTTAATAACTTCCTTATAACATCAACTATTATATGCAAAATACAGATTTTATTTACATTTTTCTGTCACAGCAACTCTTTAAAGTAATATAATATTCAGTTTCTTTATTTTGTTTTAATTCAGAGATGTTACAATTACTACCCAAAGAACTGAATTTGAATTTACAGTTCGTCTTTTAATGCTATGCACTTTCAGAACTGAACGGGACTTTTAATCACAGCGGAAGACTTCCAGATACTTTGCACACATATTTTGGCAACTCCCAAATACTCATTTTTAACTTCTTTCCATTGTGAAGAGAAAGTGACAGAGCACTTTTAAATATGTTTTAAATATGGCCCATTGCCTAGTCTTGTAAGCCTTTTGATCTGTGATTTGGGACATTTCACATGACTGAAAAGATAAAAGAAAAGCTTTTATAATGTAAAAATTGCATGAAACTCAAATTTCAGTAAACCTTAGAAAGTTTTAATGTAGTTCAAATTCAGAATTCAGTGGTTGTGACAGAAATTGTTTATTATCTGGCTCACGGCAGAAAAAGCTTGGCTAACCAACTCACTTCTTGTTTTGTCCAAACAGCTATAGAAATCTTATCTCCATTGGCAGTGATCAGTTCATGTCAGTCAGATGCAGAAATTTCTATGTCAGGAGGTAAAGAACTTTTTATAAAAGAAAGTGATAGGAGCTAAGATATTTCCTTCCTGCTGCTGGTAGCCACCCTACACCCATAAAGAAAATAAGACTGTAACTAAAGTGCACACCTACAAGAGGAAGCATTCACATCAACAGAAATGAAACTAGAGCCAGGCTCATTTTGATTTCCTCTTCTGCAAGCTGATGAGATGAGTCAGTTTAACTAAGATGATTTGCAGTTTCTGTTATTGACAACCTCAACTTTTTGTCTAGTTGATAGTGTTATAAAATATGAGTGTAAAAGTTTAAAACAGGTGCCTATACCCTACTTAATGGAAATTGCCAAGAAAATTCTTTATTGGGAAATTAATTACTGATGGTCTCAATTTGCTAATCAGTGCTCTTATTTAAGGACTTTAGATTATTATTCTTGCTGCAAATCTGATACATAAATGGCTATTTCCACACTTCAAGTACTAATTCCGTGCTTATTCGTCTTTGCAAGGTCACACAGCTAGAATATGGTAGAGTGATCCAAGTCCATCTCCACTGTCCATTTCCATTTCATACCAAAAGAAAGTCCAGGTTTACAAGGGAAAAGTTTGTTAATGTTGATACATGCAGAAGCAGGCAGTTCATTGGGATCTGCCTTATGTAAGGTACTTCCAAAAACAATTAGAGTTAATAGTTAATGTTCTGAAAGCAGTCTATTATACCGAGTCTCAGTGAAGTGATACTATATTTTTAATACTAAGTGAAATTATTTGTTGTCTATACAATGCATATGTATATGTGTATATACATGTATACATATTTTATTCTTTCCAGAAGAGTAACTTCCTAAGACACTCTTTTTTTGAGAGAGAGATGTGAAGCTTTAATCCACAACTTATGAAGTCTTTCATAGATCTAAAAATGGGTGTTTTGTCCAGTGTATATTATATGCCTTGCTGAAGGTATATTATATGCTGTACATTCTTGTGATGTAGATTGAGAACAAACACTTTGAAAATGGATAAAAGCATTCTTTCTAGGTTGCCTTCCACTGAGGTGATAAAGACCATGACCAAAGCAACCTAGCGAGGAAAGGGATTATTTGGTTTACAGGTTTCAATTAATGTGATACTATATTATTAAGGAACTTCAAATGCCCTTGTCTATTTATTTTACTGGCATTCTCTTTTATTTATTTTTTTAATAAATTACAGTTTATTCACTTTGTATCCCAGCTATAGTCTTCTCCCTCAGCCCCTTCCAATCCTACCCTCCCTCCTCTCATCTCCTATGCCCCTCCCCAAGTCCACTGGTAGGGGAGATCTTCCTCCCCTTCTCTCTGACTCTAGCCTATCAGGACTCATGAAGACTGGCAGAGTTTTCTTCCTCTGTGGCCTGGTAAGGCTGCTCCCCCTAATGGGGGAGGTGGTCAAAGAGCCAGCCACTGAGTTCCTGTCAGAGACAGTCCCTGTTCCCATTTCTAGGGAGCTCACTTGGAGACTGAACTGCCCTGGGTGATGTCTGTGCAGGCCATTCTTGATACTATGTATGACAGATATCAATGAAATCAGTTCAGTGTTCTGAAACCTTTCCTTCTACATTTTATAGTTATGTTTCTTTGTTATCAAACATATTCTAAGGGTATTGTTAGAGAAAGAGATGAGTTTGTAACAAATGAAATGCTTGTTTACTCTTTAAATGCAGGGAACCAGATAGCTAGATAGCCCTCCTTTGACTCCTAGCTTCACTTAGAGGAATCAAGAAAACTGTCCTCTACATTAAAATATTAAGTGTAAAGCCAACTGTGTGGCTAGTGCACATCTGTAATTTGATTCTTGGGTGGCTGAGAAATTTGCATTATAAGTTTGAAGCTTGTCTGTGTTGCAAAAGGAACTCAGTTTAGTTAGTGTGGTTTGTTTTTTCTGTTATTGAAAGTTGAAAACCCAACTTTGTAAGTAGTTGATACTGTCATATACTTTGAGTGTATTGAAGCCTTCACAAATTTAAGAAAAAAAGACATATACCCTGTTTAGTGGAAAGTGTGTGTGTGAGAGAAAGAGAAAGAAACAGACACAGACACAAAGACTGTAATATAACCACTTTTTCAGTTACAAACATACGAGATTACTTTTGCTATATTCTTCCCCATAAGTATGAATACTGAATAGCATAACTTTTTTAATACAATTTGATATATTTGGAAAAATAAGTGTCTTTAAAATTTGAGTGATTTATAATGAAAATTCACATTTCCATGTAGTCATCCTATAAAAACATCAAACATTGAAACATCATACAATGAAATTGTCAAATAATTCTCTGTTTTAATATGAATAATAGTCAAGATGTCAATTTTAAACAGAAAAGCTGTGCTCCTTATCTTCTTCCTGCCTTCAGATATGGTCCTTGACCAGCAGGTCAGCTCAGGGCAGCTGAATGAAGATGTACGCCACAGGGTTCACGAAGCATTAATGAAGCAGCATCATCACCAGAATCAGAAAAAACTCACTAACAGGATTCCCATTGTCCGATCTTTTGCTGATATTGGCAAGAAACAGTCAGAACCAAATTCCATGGATAAAAATGGTAAGTAATCTTTTATACTACTATAGGACCGTGCACTATTAAATTGTTTCTAAATATTTAAAACTTTTATTTGTAAATTTTTAATTGAAATTAATATTATTTTAATATGTTTCCTTTTGTCTATATATATGTATATACAAATATACATATATTAGTCTTATTTTCATCATCAAAGTGTAGACATTTTAACAAAGAACTTGTTTCTAAAAAGGCTCATGAAAGAGTAAAAATTAATCCGTATCTAATTCCAACCTACAGACCCAAACAGCAAACTTAAATGAAATGTGTCTTCCTTCTTGACCAAAGTCTAAGCCTCTTTCTCATAGTTGAGAAGAGTAATGCAATGGTTTAAAAAGTAGTGGCCTTCTAGTTAAAACAGTAATGATCACCATTTGTTGTTCTTGTTGTTGTTTGTTTTGTTTTTGTCGAAAGAAAAGCTTTTTGCATCTTGGACATGGTCAACAGATGTCATTACTGATAATAAAAAGATGTAGCCGTGCCTAGCGTGGCTCTGCCTGTTTGTAGCCTATGTTCTGCTCTTGAGCTCATTGCTCTTTCACTGCAGCATCTTAGTGTACAGGGAGCCTTCTCACCATTTTCACTCAACAGCATACATAAATGCTATTATTTCCCAGTAACCTTCTATTTTTTGGTTTTTATTTTCATTGAATTCATTTAGCCTTTTATCATTTATATTAGAAAATTGCTTCGAAATTCCTTGTTATCATAGTTTTATAAAAGAAATGAAGTTATCATGAAGATAATATGAATTTGTAACTCCTCTGTTAGCCACAAATGCTTTTCAATTCTAAAAGACAGAAGTTATAATTGGGTTGTAGGTCGGTCTTGTATTCACAGTGCTCCATGTTTTAATTGCAGCACCGAGTAAATTGGACATTCTACTACATACTTATAATCCCAGAAGTTAGGTAGAGGCTGGAGAAAGTTCAAAGTGAACCTACAGTACATAGAATGTTTATTATCAGTCTAGCAATGAGCTTTGATTTAAAAATCAGATAAAGGATGGGCATATTTTCAAGTGGTTTATTAGAAAACCTGACAATGCAAATTGACTAAAGTAACATGAATTGACAGCACAGAATATTTGCGTGATTTTCCTACCTTTTCAAAAGTTTCAGAAATACTTTACTTTATATGAAGATGGGTTTTCTTTAGACTTTATATTATGAGGAAGTTTTCGTACTTCTGAATCAAATGTACACACAAAAAAATACTTCAATGAATAGGTCAATTTTGTTTCAGACTATCTCAGGGTCATTAAGTAATTAAGTCTCAGGACTTTATGCAGAAAGATAATAAATGATATATTTATCATTAAAAAGTTGTTTTTGAAATATTTGTTTCATATCTAGGTGCTATGAAAGTAGTGTATCTTTCACCGAAAATCCCTGCCGGAAGGTTTGCTACTCAGGTCACTACTCTGCTACCCTTTGGTGTCCTCAAATGTTGTCTGATGTTCCTTCATGTTTCTCTAATGATTCCATGACTGTATGAGAACACATTATGTTCTATATGTTACAGACTATAAAGGTAACCAAGGCAGCTGAAATTTTGGTCTTTAATTTCTAATAAGTTAAAGACACAGAATTGAAACATAGACGTCGTCCTTGACTGACAATAAAGCATTGCTTTACACAGAGGCAGGTGTATGGGAGTATATGTAGAGTTCAATAAAGGTCACATGCATGCTATGGCATATATCAGCTTCTATTAGTGGCTTGTACTGATTATTCCGAGGATGGAGAACTCACTTTGAGACAAATACTATATTTGAATTAATTCATGTTCTAAATTATAATTTGATTTAAAACATACATATTAATGTGAAATCGGAGACTTTATATTCTGAGATATAAATGTAGTGGCTCATTTCTTTTAAAGGAAGCTTGAGAACAATGTTATTAGAGTTTAAGAGAAAAACTCCTGGGCAGACAAGCTGTAAATTCTGACAGCTGCCCAGAGGAGAATGGAGAAGAGAATTGACAAACAATGCTCTTGAAGATACTGTTGCTTTTATAATGATTGTACTTATTCGATTGGCCATGGTTAAGACAGCTAATCTAAATATTTGATAATTTTGACAAGAGACTTAAGTTTACTTGATTCTAAAAACCTTTCAAAAAAATCCATATTTTAATTTTCCAAGAATTTGGGGGATTTTTTGGACAAGTAAACTCTGTGTATGTGTCATTACTTTTATTGGAAATCACATAATATAGAGAAAAAATGTGTTTATTCAAACAGGTAATGAATGATCTTATGTGGTACAATTTCTATTCTTTTTACTGAGCATAATATTTATATTTAAAATTTTTGTTTCATTTTAGGGAATAGGAAAGAAGGTGTGAAATCTCCTGAATTGGCCATTCATTGTCATTGTAGACCAACTCATTGTTGCTGTTTTAAACTCCCATTAAACTTAAGGAGAGAGGACAGAATTACAGCTGTGAATCACAAGTCTACATACAGATGCGTGTAGACACAAGGTTTACAGAGAGTCCTATTGTTTTATGTGTGAAATAGCTTAGTATTTCTAAAAACTAGAATCAGAATAATTCTGTTGCCATCTGCACAGTCAACCTTTATATGAACACACAAATCTTTCCAGGGCATGTGTTAGGGTAATAGGAACTTGGAAGCACTTATAATAAGATTCACATATCCAATTAAGTATTGTTGTGCAGCATCCTGTCAGCAGTGGTTTCTAAGCCTAGGCTTCTCACACCTCCTCATGACTCTGTTTTGCTTCCTCACACACTTTACATAATTATGTGTGCTGAGAAGTCTGAAAATATGTATAGACTTCAGCAATTTAGAAATAAGTCTCCTACCCACAAGTGACAAAAAGTGCGAAGGACCTTTACTACCAAGGTTCTCAATCTACTTAAGAACTCTGTAAACTGACAAACTTGAGATAAACAAAGAAAGCAGAATTCATAGCATAAGTATAGAGTTGACGTTCTGTTACAAAACATGGATTAGAGACTTAATTTTTATAGTGTAATAGTAAAAAGGGATGCAAGGCAGTGCTAACATCCCAAAGAGTAAATGCAGTATTCTTTAAAAAAAAATTCTTGAGCAAAATGTTTTACTTGACAGTTGAACATGATTTCTTTAAAAGAAGCAAAGATGTAGAAACAGGTTATCTACCCTTGTTTAATATGTTTTTGTTTTAGGGTCAAAAATTGAAATGTCCAAAAAATGAAGTGATATTTACATAAAGAAGTCTAAAGAACAATTAGAATAAGGTGTCTGTTTCCTTATTTAATTGTTCTTTGGTATGATACCACGGTTGTTCTCTCAAGGGTTAAACACACAGACACTGCATTTCTAACGTAGGCCTTCCATGTTTGATATATTACACTAACAAAATAGCATACTTCTTTTCGATGTAATGCTTTCTGTTCGTTATTTATCCTTAGTAATTTATGATAATTTGTCAATCTCACCTACAAATACACTGATGTATATATGTATATGTTACATATATGTAAATATTTTTCTATTCTGCACATTACCCTCAGGGTTAAGATGTAAGATGCTATGGATTCACCATGCATTCTTAATGCCGCCATGCTGTGTTTAACTTTCACTTTTCATTAAGCATCAAAACTGTGAGAATTAAATGACTGATTCTGATGTTTTAATAGAAAGTGACAGTTACATTTGGCAAAACAATGGCAAAAATAATAGAAAATAGTTTCTACTTTGACATTAGAACCTTGAAAAGTGTACTGACATGAAAAAATATCAAGAGTATGTAAGTCATTTCTTGACTCTAGAAATACTTTTCAAACACAAATGTAACTTGTTTTAGCTGATCAAGAAATTAAAATAAATAAGTGTTTATATTTATCAGTTAGGCCATGCATTCACTTACACATGAAGAGAATTGTACTGCAATTTTATTATAAAGTGATGTTAATTTTCTGATTACATGTTTATGATAATTCTTGGGACTCTTGGCTACAGGGTATTTTCATCCCCTCACCCATTGCTATTAATTTCTAACTCTTACTCTGCTTCCACACCATTCCCCCTTCCTAGTTCGAATGCTTTGCAGTTACAGTTTTTATTTAGAACTGGAAGGGGTTGCACAGCTTCTCCTAATTCCCTCTGATTTGCTGTTTACAGTCTTAAGAGGAGAACGTTTAGATTTAGCATGAGACATGTTTAGTATTCTGACCTGGGTAGATTGCAGCCCTTACAGCAAACAGTACACACATGTGTTTTCTTAATGATGTTTCCTTGTGTTTTTTAAACTTATTTTACTGCCTTAAAATCACTTTTATTATTATACTGCACCCTTATTTTAAGATTCATGGTGTCTTTATGTGTTTAGAAATTCATTTTCTTTTTTAAAAATATTGTTATAATAAATGATAGAACATGTAATAGTTATGTTTCATAATGACCTACCTTGAAGAAGAAAGCTAGAATATTACTTCTTAGTATTGTTTGAGAGAAAGCACATTCAGAGATTCCTACATATGGGAAATGTAAACTTTTTTATTGTTAAAAGAAAATTAAAATTATGTTACTTATTAACACAATTGATGTGTCTGTTTGGAAGCTGGATTGTCATTCAGTTACGGAAAATTGATTACATTTTAAGAGCAAACATACTCCTAAGATAGCATGTTTAAAGTTTTAATTTATTTTCTTTGAAACTAATTATTTCTAGGCATACCAGTTCTCAGCAATTAACTGCATGCATACTCTGTTTTTGAAGCGTAGCTCACCTAATCATAATTTTCTAAATATTTATCTCTCTCCATGTTTTCTATTTCCATAAATAAGCGTATTGTGGCACATGTATGTAACTTTGTCATTCATCTCTATATTTCTTCATTTTGCTCTGTCTTGTGTCTGTCTCTAACAGGCTCATCTCATCTCTGTACCTCCCTCATCTCCTACCCTTTGGGTACTGTAAATGCGTTGAAGGTTCTGAGGTAGTGTAAACCAGCTTGGCAGCTTGGACTCTAGGATAATAGTACTGTACCTTCATGTCTTCATCCCAGTTTCCTTCTATGACATATGATTTATGCTGGTTTAACCAGTAGCAAATAATGATATATATATGTATATATGTCTAATATATGTAGGTAATAAATTATCTAATGAGTTGAATTAGTCCAGATAAAAATTTTAAACTGCTATTTTTGTATCACTCATGCACACAGTTTACATATAGGAAAGAATTATAGGTAAAGACTCAAATATGATTCAGAGAAAACCAAACAGGTGCTAGTATAAATGCTAATCACTCTATACTTTGATTCATACAAAATGAAAAAAAAATTCTGTTAAAATAAAGAACCATATATTTAACTGATAAAACAATAATGTAAATAATGTTAACTAGAATGGATGATGTTAGAGTTCTCAAATATTTAAATTTAAAAACTTATAGGCATCAGTTAATATTAATGATGTGTACTTTAATCATGTTTTGAATAATTTTAATGAAATACAATAAGATTAGTGAGTTAAATGTTTCGCCATTGTATTTTTATGCCTTAAGATTTACATAATATTGAAGGCACTCTAAATTTACAATGCCATTTGATTACATAAAATTTTAATCTGAGCAATAATCAATGCACAAAGTAAAGGAATTAGAAAGAAATCAGCAAAAATTTTTGTTCGCAAGCATCATGTCAAAGTAACTAGAAAGTTTATTATAAACTTCAAAAAAATATATTTCTAACCTTTGACTGGTTTTCCCATGGAGAGAAAAATATCCTTGCAAACTCTTTTATATTCTATTAGAAAATATTCACCGTGCCTAAAAGTTGTCATTTTATGAATGACATTTTTCATCATAAAAATCAACAATTGTGAAATTATATAGGTTTAATACTTTTTCCTAAATTGTCCATACATTTTATGTGACAGTCTTATGAGCTCATGAAATGCATTTTGGAATCTAAGACCCATCATCTTCTGGAAAGTGGTGATACTTGAATTAAGTTTTTAAGAAAGAAGTTATAATGGACAGGAAATTATGAAGGCTATTCTGTGGTCTGAGGAGTTCTATGGAATATTACAATGCACTAATCTTAGCTTTGTGTATATAACAAAAAATATAAGCTTTACTTAAACTATTATAATTTTTTTAAATAGCATAAGCCAATCTTTTAAATTTAATTTCTTAATTGTACCTACAGATTTTCAGTATTCTGCAAAATTGTCAAAACTGCTTCATACTATTTTATTTTATTAATTTGACATATAGTTTTAGAAGTAACAGTAGATTTTAAATGTTTAAACTTTAAAGGACTTTGAATGTGATAAATATATTCATGTGTTATTCTGAAGCACAGAAGGTACAGATACTTGTAGTTTCTATGCCCACATAAGAGGATGCTTGTACTGTAGGTCACAGTGTGCGACTGTGTACACTCTCTCCATCTGTACTGTAGTACACATTCTCTGCACAAATCTCTACTCTGGAAATAACAAGGCCCTTATTGTCATCTCGTGTTTTTCCTACTTGATATTTGGAACCTGTTTATTATTAATATCACTTAAAAGATTCAGAGAAAGCAGTTCCTAATTCACTTCCTGGTTATTGGCTTTGTAAGGTAATATTTCATACTTTTTAATCTTAAAACAGGAATAGCATAGAACGATAAATCTCCAAATATATTTATTACAATTATCACACAAGAGCAACATATTAGTGATCACAAATATTTACAAAATGAAATAAAAGTGCCAGCATTTAAATATTATTTCATAACATGAAGATAGCTTAAGAAATATTGTTCCTGAAACATATGAATTAAAACCAAAAACAGATTTTTTTCAAATACTAAATGCTAGCATATTTGCTATGTGATTCAGTCTCATCAAAGTTGATTTTGCATTGAGTTGACTCTTTGTCTGTGTTTTCTTATAGCATTATGCAAATGATATTTCATGTAGTTTCTGACTACATGGCACAAATTATTATAAAAAAGCATATATGTGTTCATTTAACTTTTTTGTAACTTGAGTCTTAACCACTTAATTTTACAGAATATTTAATAAATTTGTTTAAATATATCTAACATTCCAACTCATGAAAATATGGAGAAATGTTGTGAAACTGGTGATTGAAGACATCTGTTAGTTGCACAAATGCATTATGTAAAAGCCTTCTTAAAAATAACAGTTATTATTTTGAGAATGGTGAATTGAACGGCTGCTGATGAACAGTTCAGCTAGAGCTGTGAGTTGCAGGTAGAGATGGGAGATGAAAAACTTGTCTGAGTTCCTCTGAAGGATATGCATCGCCTTGAATTGTGATTTCAAAGAATCAGAGTCTGTGTCTGTGGTTTCCAGTGAGTTTGCTTTAAAAAGTCATTGTATTTTTACGCTCACAAAATATATTATTTTTCTGCGTTTGATGGAAACAGAAAAATATTTAAGTTCTATTTAAATCTATTACTTTCTTACAAAGTAATTTTAATGCAGAAAATCGTACCTATTAACAGATGATCTCTGACTGTTGAGCTTACTATTCCAAGCAGTAAAATTATACTACTATGTAAAATAAATAATTTCAATTTTATTCATGTTTGTTGATCACAAAAAAATTAAAGAAACAATTTTTCTGTAACTATTTAAGGGAGTTAGAGGAGTTCAGAATTGGCACTGATCAGGAGGAGTGGGAATAAGAGTGAATTCTGAGTAAAACTGAGATTTCAGCATGTACAGAGAAAAGTTATGCAGAGAGTATTTCCCATGTTTGAAATCAATGCGAGTAAAAGAGGGATTTTGGGCCACTGAGTTAAAAATGTAAATGTGGTCAAATCTTCAAAGTTGACTTGTTATTATTCATGTCACAGAAAAAGTAACGAGTGAATATGGGCAGAGGACAGGCAGGGGAAATTAAGTCAACTGGGTTAGTTACCGTTCAGTGGCTAACTGTGGGCAGGTTCCAGATGGATTGTGCTTGCAGGGCCTGTCACAGTGAATGATAGAATTTAATGTTTTCTGGTCCTGGTCACATCCCCAACTCTGCTGTTCAGCTAAGTAGCTTTACCTTTCATACAGAGGGAGAAAGCTACAACATAATTATATTTTCAGTAATGCTCATGGAAACCAATACAACTCGAGTTTAGTGATCGTTTCTTACATAGCAGATGAATAGCTGAGCTTACGTATCTGATTAGTTACAGGCACAAAATCACGTATGTTTCTAATAAGCTTCATCTCTAAATTTTGCTAAAGAACATAGTGATTTGGATTTTTTTTAATGTAACTGAACCTAAGATGCTGAGCACTTAGAATATTCATCCTTTTTATATTGTCAAAAATTCTTCAGTCAGAGCTTCAAACTTATGCCTTTTTAAATATATGCAGTTAGTTTTGGTTGCCATTTAGAAATCAATGAACTTTAGGTGAAGGTTAAATTTAGTTAAGTTTTGTAGGCATCTTTTCTTCAAAGAGATTAACCATTTGGTGTTTTAAATTGATAATTGGCTTAAATGTTCTTGGTTGATTTCTCCCATTTCTATCTGTAACTGATAATCTTTATATTGATATAGTTTCATTTAATTGAACGTTCATGCTGACATCATAAGCTTATTAAAAATTCTAGTTAGCTTGGTTAAATTCAAGTTCATAGTTCATTCAATATGCCTACAACTGTGAAAGTAATTGCTTGTATTCTGTAATAACAATCTCTCTTTTAGCAGGTCAGGTTGTTTCTCCTCAATCTGCTCCAGCCTGTGCTGAGAATAAAAATGATGTTAGCAGGGAAAACAGCACTGTTGACTTTAGCAAGGTAAGCTTTCCTTCTTCCAAGTAAGCTGCTAAACCACTGGTAGAAACGTCTTACCTGTTGGCACGCCACTTTTGCATGCCTTTCTTTGATTTCTTAGCTGAAGCCTGAAATTGTAATAGACAATGTTAGAGTTTGAGTCACATGCAGGGTTATGCTTATTTGAGAAAACATAAATTTTATGAATTTTAATTAAATTCATAAAAAATAAATTCATAAATTTTATGAATCATCTTTTGGATTCAGCCACTTGTGTAATACTCGAAGTAAAAATGCCAAGTGGATTGAATAAGGAACTTAATATGTTGTTTTAAAATATTTGCTAGATTTTCCCTCTCAAAAGAATCTTCCCATTAGTTGCAAAAGAACAAGTCATATGACATATATCTCAAATATTTGGAGGAGGTCAATGAAGGAAATCCTAAAGGGTAAAATAGCAAAAGTTTGAATAGAAACATGACTAAGGGCTGATTATGTGGAGAGCTACTTCTAGTTGGATATGATCTCAATGAAATAATTTATACAAAGAAAATATGAGTTAGCAAAAAATGAAGAGAGTTTGGTTAATACGTTCCTGGCTTTGTATATGTGATATAGTAGCTGTGGCAAAGTAACAGTTGAATAGAACAGAAAAGTTTCAATATTGGTCAAAATAAGGATATTGAACAATTTTATCTGAGTTGCTGATATAGAAGAAGTATTATGATACAACTCTTAACCACTAGCAATAGTGGGAGGAAGTGGGAATGGCTTTGATCTGAGGAAGTAATCTAAATCAAAGTTTTGAAAAGATGAATTATAATCAGCTCCTTGGACCTGTTTTAGCATACCTGGGACAGTATGTTCATGAGCTAGGCCTAGTTATGTGCATGCCTTCCCTCTGGTGCCTGGCTGAGTCTTGTGGGAGCATGATGTATCAGCTTAAGTCTGTTAATTATGCGTGCAGGGACTGGGAGGCCAACAAAAGGGGCATAATAGTCCATGTGGGATGAAACAAAGGCATGAAAAAGGACCTCCACACCAGCAAGAGAGAGAGGTGAGGGCATTCGGGCTCTATTTCTACAGTAGTTCAAAGCTCATTTCACTGTATGGGGGCATGTAATTCAAATATTAAGCCAGTTTAAATGTATTCCATCTGCCACTCTAAGAATTATATTTTAAGACATTACATCATCATTCATCTGCAAGTTATAATAAAACTGTCACAAACTGCCATAAATTTAGTTTCTGCTGTTCTTAATTCAAAACAATATCTTAACGGGATGACATAAAAATTGGCTAATTTATAACAATGGAATATTTTACATTTTTTTAAATAGTTATTTTTTAAACTATGTAGATTATTCTTTAAATAAATTACTTTTAAACTTAAAAAATACCTTATACATTGAATTTTATGCTTCCGCGTTATTCTGAGGTTTTTGGTGACCTAGCTGCATGGCCTTCAAAAATGATTACTCACTATTAAAGAGGAACAAAGATTGACAATAAAAGACAGTACTCTCATCTCCAGTTCCTTAACAAGCAGAACTACAGAAATATGAAAAATAGATATTTTTGTCTTTTATTTCTTTCCTTCGTCAATACATTTTCATTTACTGGGCCATTTCTTGGAGAAGTTTGGGCCAGCTATCTGCATCCCTCTGTCTTTTGTTCATAACATTGCTCATTGGAAAGAACAAACCTTCTGAGAAAGAGCATGTGATTTTGAATGCTGTGTTTAACATCTACCTTCTACTGCTTCTGGAGACTTTCTCTGAATTGCAGCCCTTATCATTACCTAAAATAAGTATAATACATACTTATTCTTGTGACGACTTAATGATATTATGGCCTGCTAAAGAGCTGAGCATAAAGTAGCTACTCAAGAAAAAGCAACAAGTGCATTAAGAGAGGAAATGGTAACCTCAAAATAACTTCCAGACCTGATTTAATTGCTGGTCTCCACTGGATTGTTAGTACCTTCAACAATGCTTGAGATAGATTTTTTTTTCTTGAAGGAATCTGTAAGATTTCAAATAGTTTAGGTGTTTAAATTTTTAGAGTAATAAAACAAAGCAAGAAGCATTCCTAGTTTTATCACCCGGTAGAGCAGAGAATTTGAAAAGTTATTGTGGTCTGATCACTATGGTAACAATTCTTAGTGCCAGATCTTGCAGGTATCCAAGTTAAGATGTTTTTAACCTAATGATTTTAGTTGGGCAGCAGATTTATTAAAACTCAGCTAATCATTCTCTTGGGGCTCCAAGGGTTCTTTTTTTTTTTTTTTTTTTTTTTTTTTTTTTGGTTCTGTTGATCTCCTTTTGGAGCTCCTGTGTCCTCCAGGTCTTTCTATCTCCCCTTCTTTTAAAAGATTCCCTGCACTCTGCCCAAAGTTTGGCTGTGAGTCTAAGCCTCTGCTTCAAAACCTCGATCAGTAGAGTCTTTCAGAGGCCCTCTGTGGTAGATCCCTGTCCTGTTCCCTGTCTTCTCCTGCATCTGATGTCTATCACGTTTGCCCTTCTGAATTAGGATTGAGCATCTTTCCTAAGGTCTTCCTTGTTGTTTAGCTTCTTTAGGAGTATAGATTTAGTATGTTTATCCTATATTATATGACTAGTATCCACTTATGAGTGAGTATATACCATGTGTGTCTTTCTGCTTCTGGGTTACCTCACTGAAGATCAGATGTAGCCCATTAACTCAGTCTCCAAGTGGGTTACATAGTAAGAAAACAGGGGCTTTCTCTGGCATGAACTCAGTGGCTGGCTCTCTGATCACCTCCCTCTGGGGGCGGGGGGTGGGGGGAAGCAGCCTTGCTAGGCCACAGAGGAAGACAATACAACCAGTCCTGATAGGCTAGCATCAAATAGAAGGGGAGGAGGACCTCTCCTATCAGGGGGTAGGGGAGGGGCATAGAAGGAGAAAAGGGAAGGTGGGTGTGATTGGGAGGAGGGAGGGGGCCATAGCAGGGATACAAGATGAATAAATTGTAATAAATGATAATAATTGAAAAAAAATAAAAATTGTAAAAATTAAGCTAATATCCATATTACTGTATCCATTTTAATATTTTAAACCTTGTTACATAAATCCTAATTTTCAGTCAAAAACTGAGATGAAAAAAAGTACTTTTATATTTTATAACTTGATGTTATATTCTACCAACCTTCAATCTACACATCTTTAGTCTCTACAGTGATTAGGTTCATCATCTTGCTCAATTAAGTAATGAATTAACATAATGCATATCATCAAATTATGGCACTTTCCATTATGCCTTCAAAAAGTAGGTGTCTCAGAATACTATAAACCTCTTTGCTATTTGTTTCTTTTTAAATTTTTCTTTCTTCTTTATTTATTACAGTTTATTCACTTTGTATCCTTGCTGCAGGCTCCTCCTTCGTCTCCTCCCAGTCCCACACACCCTCCTCTTCTCCACCATTCTCTTTCCCTAGTCCACTGATAGGGGAGGACCTCCTCCCCTTCTCTCTGACCCTAGCCTATCAGGTCTCACCGAGACTGCCTGCATCATCTTCCTCTGTGGCCTGGCAAGGCTGCTCCCCCCAGGGAGAGGTGATCAAAGAGCCAGCTATTGAGTTCATGTCAGAGACAGCCCCTGCTCCCCTTACTAGAAAACACACTAGGAAACTGAGCAGCCTATGGGCTTCCTTTGAACAGGGGGTCTAGGTCCTCTCCATTCATGGTCCTTGGTTGGAGTATCAGTCTCTGCAGGCCACCCTGGGCCCTGGGTTTTTGGCTCTGTAGTTCTCCTTGTGGAGTTCCTATCCCCTCCAGGTCTATCTCCCTCTTCTTCTATAAGGTTTCGGGGACTCGGCCCAAAGCTTGACTGTGAGTCTCAGAATCTCCTTCGATACCCTGGTGGGTAGAGTCATTCAGAGGTCCTCTGTGGAAGGCTCCTGTCCAGTTCCTTGTTTTCTCCTACTTCCAATGTCTATCCTGTGTGTATGTCAACAGTGATTCTTTTCATTTCAAATTGTCCTAAGTAAGTGTTCCATAATTACTCACCTAGCAAGAACCTTTTTTAAAGCATCTTTCTGGTGTGTATGAAGCATATTAAGAGTAAGAAACCTTAGTTGTATCATTTAGGGGAAAAATGAATCCTAAAGAATTTAAAAGTTCCACCTGCTCTAGATCACAGTGTCAGAAAACATTTGCCTTGAAAGAACCTCTATTAACTGTCATGCTTTCATTCCTAGCTTTGAGCTTTCTCCTTAAATTTCTATCTCCTTTTTCTTTCAGCTCTAAGTGTGTGCTTTGGGCAGGCAGTTCCAGCTCCACTGTGATCTTCTCTCTCATCTTGTTGCCTAGAGATGAACTATTTTCAAAAACAGTTCAAGTCCCAAATAGCTAGAATCAAGCATCCTTCCCTTCTTGGCATAACAGAGGGACCCACAGAGCCCAGAAATATGGTATAAATCCAGAACTCTCCAAAAGTAGCTTGACTCCTTCAAAGTTCTCTTCAAAGCACTGGGAACTTCCAGGATTTCTCTATGTTCATTTCATGCGTTTGGATCTACTGGAGCATTGCCCTAAAATTGCATCATAACCTAGACCCTCAAGTACTCTTTTTAGGTAGCTATCAATTTATACAAGATTAAATTTGTGGTTCTTAAATGTAGCGTGTTGTTTTAACAAGAGGTAGAGATATTGTCAAGTGAGTTTCTTTGTGAATTGTGAACTAATACACGTATAAAATATAGGACTATCCCAGCTATAATTTAATCTGAAAATATGATTAATATATTATGGAATCTACCACCATCCCCAAATATCCATCTAGTTCAAGAATAACATAGTGAATGAAACGCAGTGACTGACCCTAGATACATGAGTATAATTTATTATATTTAAAATGAAAAGATAAATTTGCTGATCTTGAAATCAGATTCTCCATAGCTTTTCCAAGACAATAGATATCAATTATATATTCAGTTTAATATAATTTAAAATCATATATAGTGGCTACATTTTTTATAAATTAAACTTTTTAATATATTATACAATCCTTGATCCAAGTGAATTTCAATATGTAGTAGCTAATTCTATTTTTGCCCTTCTCTAAAGTACAGACTATAATAGCAAAGACTTTGATATTGTTGAACAATAAAATGAATTTGAACAAAGTCTTCTAGTGGGATTAATACATCAAACAGTACCAATAAATTTTATGTTAATTACAAATTATATGATTTTATTTTTAAATTAGTTTTTATTATATCTCTGTGTATACACATGCATGCGTGCTTGTGTGTATGGGCATTTGTGTGCTACAGTGTGTACACAAAGGTGAGAGGCTGTCCTTGTAAACTGCCAGTAATCCTCACTCTCGGGAAGCAGAGACAGGGGATCTCTGAAGCAGGCTGAGCAGGTAGACCAGAGGAGCTAGGGAGCTCTGGGTTTAAGAGACTTGTTTCACTGTATCAGATGGGGGAAGCTGCTAGCAGTGCACACCTGTAATCCCAGGGAGGCAGGGGCAGGCGGATCTCTGTGAGTTTGAGGCCAGCCAGGTCTACAGAGAGAGTCTGGGACAGCCAAGCCCCACAGAGAAACCCTGTCTCGAGAAAAACAAAACAAAACAAAACAAAAAGATGGAGGAAGATAGATATCTGTTACTAACTTCTGGCATTCACACATATTCATACACATACATATGAACACTTACACACATGTAAACGTACACATTTACCACACATATACATTCACAACAACAACAAAAAGCTCAACACATATAGTACATAGAAAATCTTTTATCCTTTTTCTGGAATCTCATATTATGGCAAAAGTGTAAACATTACTAATTTAAGCATTTTAAATATTACAGTAAAAGCAACAAATAAGCCTTGCTTACCTATGAAATAAAGGTTAGATTCTAAAAAAGCAAACTACATGGCATATAATATTCATCATATGTATTGGAAGAACATACATTTGTATTGGAAGTTATGTTTGTAAAATAACAATGATGGAGCCTGTAACTTACAATATTCATGAAATATTCTTTCTATACATATTTTTTCATAAATGATTCTTTTTTAAGATACAAATATGATTATACTATTGAAAGAATGATTTATGTTTTTAGTTGTGGTGTTATTTTTCAGTACTACAGATGTATCTAGAGCTGGCCACATGCTAGGCAAATGCTCTACTCTTGCAGCTATATAAACTGCTATACTTAGTTCCTTTAATGAAAATAGCTTAGTTTAATACATATCTTTAAATTTTGTACTAATGCCTTAATTTTATAAACATTTTAAACATAGTTTAAAATGACTGTAGCTTCAGGCCTGGCTACCTGATAAGCTAGGGTCAGATGAAAGGGGAGGAGGTTCTCCCCTTATGAGTGGACTTGGAAAGGGATAGGGAGAGAGGAAGGGAGGGTGGAATTGGGAGGGAATGAGGAAGCGGGATACAGCTGGGATACAAAATTAATAAATTGTAACTAATATTTAAAAAATAAAAATTTAATTATAAAATGACTGTAGCTATTGATTCCATAAGGTATTTTTTTTAATTTTTTTATTTTTGAGATTTGAAAATAATTATATAATTTTCCCTTTACTTTCCTCTCTCCAGACCTTCATATATACTTCTTCTTGCTGCCTTTCAGATTCATGTCCTCTTTTTCATCATTAAATGTATAAGTATACATTGTTAAATGTATAAATGTCCATAAGAGCTACATTAAAATATTTTATTAATTTAAAACTTTTTGAAATAGTATCTTCTAATTTTTAAGCCTTCAAAAGAATTGTCTGGTCTAAAAATATCCTCTTAGCTTCATTGATACATGGCAGAGCTCTCTCTCTCTCTCTCTCTCTCTTTCTCTCTGTGTCTATATCTCTCTGTATCTCTTTGTCTCTTCATTTCTCTCTGGTCTTTTCTCCCCCTACCTCGGTTATTTCCAATTTAATCCTTGGTCCTGATTTCATTAGCATAATTGCAAAAACAAATGACTAAGGCAGATAAACTCCTAAAAATCATTCCATAAAAAGCAATTCAAATAAATTAGACACAAGAAATAGAACTAGGGTCAGAGGGAAGGGGAGGAGGGCCTCCCTTATCAGTAGACCTGGGGAGGGGCATGGGAAGAGATGAGAGAGGAAAGGTGGGATTGGGAGAGGATGAGGGAGGGGGCTACAGCTGGGATTCAAAGTGAATGAACTGTAATTTATAAAAAAGTAAATAAATAAAAAAGAAATAGGACTTGTAAATTTTACTTTAAATCACCGATTCATTTTCCCTGAAGCCCCATGCATAAAAATGATATTTATTTAAAGACTAGTCTACATGCATTTTCAGAGATCACCTTTTACTCTTAGCATTTCTTCCTTTTAGTGGTTCTTTTTGTTTTATTTTCATTCATTTAAATCACAAACATTTCATAGTAGAAATTCAACTATGAATCAGCAGTAATTCTAAATGTTAATACTTTTAACCTATTTTTTTCTATTCTCAGCTATATGGTAAATAACTTAATCTGAAAAAATTTACCAGGCCAACTATGCAATATGGAGAACATAGTCCAATTAGAATAAATACAAATGTTAAAGCCATAATATGCTGTAAGAATATATTTACTTAAGTAGCATATGTTAAATATTAGTTGAAATGTACCTATTATAAAATTCAGCTATTATAAAATATTCAATTTATTGACATAATTTAATATGATTAAAATATTTACTTGTGATGCTCTCAGGTGGATCTGCATTTTATGAAAAAGATTCCGCCGGGTGCTGAGGCTTCAAATATTTTGGTAGGAGAATTGGAGTTCCTGGACAGAACTGTAGTTGCCTTTGTCAGGCTGTCTCCAGCTGTCTTGCTCCAAGGACTGGCTGAAGTTCCAATCCCAAGCAGGTAAAAGTATCTAAGCATTTTCCGTATTTATAGGATAATTTATTTTAGGAAGTGGTAGTATTTTAATACAGTTTTTAATAGATGCTTGACTACAAATGAACGCATCAGCCATAAGCTTACAGCTTCTTGCTAGTAAATGTGGGTGGGTGCTTTGAAAAGTTTTTTCAAAGATTATAATGAATTATGTGTTTAAGAAAGATCTTACATGTGTGTAGTCACACCCAAGAGGATCATAGTTTCTAGGGCTTGGCTTTGGTTTGATTAGGTCTTCAATTGGTGGAAATGACCTGTTTGAGATCAAATGTTTCATGTTCCAGGCCTAGGACAGCTGGCTTTTCCTCTCAGGGTTTGAAGAATTGTTTGTAGTCATATGATAAAAGTGATTGCTTCTGGTCAAAAGATCAATTTGTTTGCTGAACTTTTTCTCTTTAATTATACATTGAAACTAATAGGTAAAGGTAATATAAACTGAATTCTACTATTAACTGATTCCTGTTTTATAGATATAAGGCTACTTGTGGGTAAAATTGTGAGAAAAGAAAACAAAAAGTAGAATATTGACTTTAGCATTTTAGGGTCTTACTGCTCTATCTAGAAATATTCTTTCCTTCTCTCCTGCTACCGTTAACCTGATTCTTAGGCATACTCATCTTTGTCTAATCACATCAGAGTCTGTCTATCTGGGGAAGCTGAAAGTGTTGAGAAGTACAGCTGCTGTACTTCTCAAGAAACAAGTGGGTTTCTTCTGTAAACCTTTGACTATAACTCAAAACATAATCCATATCACTCTTGTGATAGCTGTTTAGTTACAGATATTCAAGAAATAAGGAATATAGGAGAAGCCCCATTCTGTAAGGACCCTGTTGACTAGAGTGGCATTCAGTTGCTGCACCTCTCTGGCTGGGTCTGCATGAGAAACCTAGTTACTTTTAAGGTTATAGAAGCAAATATCTATTTATTCCATTTTATGGCTACTGATACATATGTATATATATATATATGTACTAGCACTTAATATAAAATGGGAAGGAAAAAACTGAGTATATTTAAAAAAGAATATAATTATGTGAATAAGCCTATGTTTTTTCCACATCTAAACCACAAGCTATTAAGAGTTTCTAGAAATCTGGTATTGCATTATTCCATCAGATTTAGTAATTGTAGAAATGCTGTAGCAGTTTAGAATTCCAATTCATTTGTATATTCACATGTTTGGAAACCTATGAGTAAATGGGGGCTGTTTATGACACTGATAGTTCCTGTATTTCAATGAAAAGAAAAGAAAAATTTTCAGGAGTAGAATATACTCATGATAAGGTTATATACATACACTTTGAAAAGTCTCAGGCATAGGAACCTCATTTGTACTGATACAACAAAGTGAGTGTAGAGACAATGAAGAAAAAACTGGGGGCATTATAGAACCACTGTGTAGGGAGAAACTCAAAAGACTAGGCTGTTTATTCAGGAAGGGTGCAAAATGAAAGAAGATTAGACAAACAGAGTAAAGAAAACTATCTGTGGACCTCAATGATCCTTTCTTAGGAGGAAAGGAGCATGCCATGATTGTAAAGGCAACATAAAGTAGATATGTCAGAAAATATTTTTTTAGGGATTTGTAAATACCACATGCAGTAAAATTTTTAAAATAGCAAGGTACTCAGAGGTTAGAAATTTTATCATAAGTATTATAGTTGATAAAGCTGCCACCACATTAAAATATCCTTCTTTTTTTAAATTTTTTTATAACACACATAGGGAGAGAGAATACAATTTGACTTGGGTTCAATTATAACGGATAGAAAATAATGTTAAAAATAACCTATAAGATTGTTTAATAGATGCTTTATATGTATATTTATATATGTGATCTCTGAAATTTACAGCTAAGCATAGAATTATACTGACTGCAAACTATACCCAGTGGAGCCATCTTTAACAATGTAAAATATGTAACAAATGAATACCACAGAATACTACTGCAAAATACATGGCACTCTAATTTTTTCTCTTCTTCTGCCTAATTTTTAAGTCCTAGCAGTTTTATGTTCAATAAAATGTGTGTACAGTGACTGGACGTTACTGATATGTTTGTTCTCTTTTAATGTGTTACATTGCCTTTCTTTCTCTTGAAAGGTCTTCATTTTATGTACTAGCAAACTTTCTGCTTCCTATTTAGAAATATTTAATTTTCCTATCATCCTCTTCTAAGGACCTACAATCTTCAAAATGCCTAGTCACAAACGTGTAGGCTGTCTAGACAGCTAAATGCAGAAATCCAAGGGTTAAAAATAACCCAGCATTCTCAATGCTAATTCTCATTACTTCTTATACTGACATTTCAATTATAAAGCATTTCAAATCACAACAAAGTGTACAGAAATCCATATCAAGATCCTCATTTTGACTAATTCCTTTGAGATGATACATTCTGTTCTAAGAAGGTTATTGTTAATATTTCTAACTGGAATTTTTTCTTCTTAATTTCAGATTTCTGTTCATTCTTCTGGGACCCCTGGGAAAGGGTCAACAGTACCATGAGATTGGCAGATCGATTGCAACCTTAATGACTGATGAGGTATTTATTTATGTTTCTAGGGAAGATTTTCCTCACAAGATACAAAAAAAAAAAAAAAAAAAAAAAAAAAAAAAAAAAACCTGAAAGTCTGTTTCATGACAGTTTTCTGGGCATCTGATTTTGCTGTTTTGAACTGCTTTTTCCCAAGTTTTCACCACCAACTTTCCTTGAGTGAAACCTATCCAAAAGGATAAATAAAAACTATGAATTATAATTTTTGAGAGCCTACAGTATCATAAAAACTGTTAAACATTTACAACACATTCATTTTTTCCACATTATACATATGCCAACCTTATACGTGTTACTTATATTTTAATAACACTAAAATTTGTTTGGGGTATAATTACTTTGCTGTCTAAATTTTAAAAAAACAGTAGTTAATATGTATAGAATATATGACACCAAAAAGATGGGCAAATTCTGCAAGCCCTGTACAACTGCTTGATATATATACAGACGTTCCTAACCTTGTGCTCTTTAGAGCATTGGTGGAGTTATAGATGAATTTTAAGTGGTTGCTAATCTCCATTATTCAAATACATTTCTTAGTTAAAAAATGTGCAGGCATATTTTACATTGTAAAAATTTTACATTAGCTTCTCAAAAAGATCTAAGTCTCAAAAATGTAAGATCTTAAAAATCAGAACCATGATACCTCAATAGTGTGGCTGATTAAACAAGATGTGACCAAGAACACCAATAGATATGCTAACACGAAAGAAGGTAATCTCGGGGGTATTTCTTGACAAAGAACCACAGGCAGCTAACAACTACAAAGAGAGAGAGAGACTGTTCCTCAGAGATGAACTTGGCTATCCAATACTAAGTTGTCAGCCCTGAAAATATACATGCAACTAACACTGAATGGATTCAGCAGGTTATATTAATATATTTATTCACTTATATACATGTAACAAAAATAACAGTCTTTTTAAAAAGGCCATGATTTTGAAAGGGGGCATGTGGAAGAAGTTGGAAAGAGGAGATGGGGGGCATTGTTAATTTATTCAAGTATTGATTGGATATGAACTACATATCAGCACTTGTGCCAATGGTAGGTAAAAATATGGACAAAAGTTTTTTCTTTCCCTGGCCCAATGATTGAAAGACAGAGTGACAAAGCAGTTAAATATACAACACATGGAAATAAGTGCTCTGTAACAAATCACAAGAGCAGTGAAAGGGGGATGGAGGAGGCATGAGGAGCTTTTTAAGTTAAAGAGAGGACTTTTTGATCCAGTAATAACAGGGACAAAGGTTTTGGTATGGGGATATTCCTGGATCACTTAGGACATTTAGAACAAAGTGACTTCTCCAGAAAGAGGCCAGAGAGGTAATGGTAATTTAGCATATCACTAAAGAACTTAGATTGACTTGGGAAACAAGTGGATGAGCTTTCGTGGTAAAGTGAACCCCAAAGTCATACTTACCCCATCTGTGACTCCTCATTCAATCCACAAACAAACCTCTCAGACTCAGGTAACATATACAAAATCCTGTCATGTCTTATTTCTACATGATATGATGTCTCTATGTGTTTTCCCATTGTCTACCTTTTGCTGTTACCACAAGATCCCCACCATCGCATCAGTTATACAAAATCTCTCTGCTTTTTTTTTTTTTTTTTTTTTTTTTGCTTTGTTTCATTTTGCTAGACACACAATAGCTAGAGAACTTCCTCTTCTGGTCAAGACCCTCAGATGGCCTCTTATCTCATTCAGAGTCAAAGTGTTCACAAAGAACTATAGAGTCCTTTGATGTCTCTACCATCCCCTCAGTTATCATCTCTCGCTATTCCTCCTTACATGTACATCACAGGAATTTGCTCCCTTGCTGTTTTTCAAATATGGCATTCATTCATGTTCTACACTTGCAGGTCCTTTAGTGTGGAAAGTTCTTCTTCTTGATAGCTATAAGGCTTGGATCCATAAGGTGTTTGCTAAAAAGAAAAAAAAAGAGAGAAGAAAGAAAATCACCAAAGCCTCTTTAATTACTGCATTAAAAGGCAGTATCACTTCACTTTCATGACTTATCTTCTCTTTAGTGCTCTCCAGTGTCCTCCACATGTACAGTTGTTTGTATTCTTCTGCGCTATCTCACTAGCTGCCCTCAGGTGTGGGTTTCATTGGTTTTATTCTTTCTCATATCCCTCGCATGGAAATAGTTTGGCATATATTTATTGAAGGAATGTTCAGAGCTCATTTTAACAGGTAAAATAGACATTAAATAACTATTTGTGTAATTAATACTTAGTTCTCGTAAACAGTCATGATGATGATGAGAACTGTGACAGGTACTGGGAGAATATTGAAGTATCTACTCCTGCTTCGTAGAGAGCCTGGGAAGGCTCCTCTGTGCTATCAGATAAATGTTAGAGTGAGAATGGTAGCAATAGGGATAGGGCACCAACATAGTTGGTCTATATTTTGACCAACTATGGTTTTCTCTAAAGGTCTCCTGTTAAAGAAAAGTTTCTTTAATGAGAGCAACACTTATCTGTGGGTATAAGGCTGGATATTTAAAATTCAGTTAGGAATTATGCTGGCTTAGTAAAGTAGCCATAGTATGTTCTCTTATGCTGTCCACAACCTCATTAGCCTTGGGTGGTTGGGTAGGTTCCCAGAAAAATCCACAATTTCCCTTCTTTTGAACAGGACTTAGTCCAGTTAGAGAACTGTTGGTTACCACTAAGATATGATGGTACTGTTGCGCCATTAGGGTTGTCATCCATGCTGGCTGTTGCTGCGGTTCATAGACATCTAGGTAGCACAATTGGTTGCTCTCCTCCCTTAAAAGAATGCTATCAGTTCTATGAAAGCTGGTCCTCAGGAGGAGGCCTTCAGATCAAATCCAGCTCAGATCTGGTTAATGTATCTGAAGTGCATATTAACTCAGCAATAGGAGCTTACCTTCAAACTTTGGGAGGAAGCCAAGGGCAAGAGCAATATCCTATACATTTTGGGTAGTCTCTTAGACTTCCTGACTAAAAACTCAGCTGTGTGTTTCTCATGCCTGGTACTGGAGTTGTTGTGAGATAGTCTATGGTTCCAGGGGTAGTATTGCCAACCCAAATGGAATCACTTCATTTGAACTACATATATATATATATATATATATATATATATATATATATATATATATATATATATGTAGACTTATCTGTATTGTATATAATGAAGATAAACAAAGAATATGATTCCTTATAGAACTTTTAACCACCTTAGCATTATTTTACTCTCCTTCTTCTCCTTCTGCATTGACCCTCTCTATCTAAATATTATCACCCCAATTTTGCCCATTCCCCCTTATAAGTTACTTATTCAGATTAAATTTCTATTTTTCAGTCTTTTAGTTATTTAGTAATTAGATACCTATTTAATATAATTATTTAAATTACAATATAATTATATGAGGATATTCTGAGTCTTAAAATCAGTAATGTAAATCTGTATTGTTAGGGATAGGGGAGGAGGAGGGAGGGAGGTTGTGATCAGGAGGAGATGAGGGAGGAGGGTACAACCAGGATACAAAGTGAATAAATTTAAATAATAACAACAACAACAATAAGGAATATGTGATTTGGGGGGAAGGGTTGATTTTTATAATACAGGGTTTTTCTGTGTAGCCTTGGCTGTCCTGGACTTGGTTTGTAGACCAGGCTGGTCTTGAACTCACAGCAGTCTGCCTGTCTCTGAGTGCTAGAATCAAAGGTGTGCACCACTCCACCTGGCTAATGCATGTAACTATTATCCATCATCAAAGAAGCTTTTGCACAGATGGAGACTATTACAGAGATCCACAGCTGGCCTTAAGGGAGAAAAGAAATGACTGTGGAAGATACACCAACAATGCAATTCAACACCTAAAGCTCAGGGAACACCATGCAAAGAGGGTTGGAAGACTGGGATATCTAGTCTCGGGTCCTTGGTCACCCAAGCACTGTCAGGCATGGATTCCATCTCATGGGGTGAGTTTAGCTCAAATAAGATATTGGCTGGTTACTTCCTCAAGCTTTGTACCACCATTGGTCTAGCCTGTCTTACAGGAAGGATACCATCGTAGATTACAGGGTTTGTGGCTGGGTTGGTTTTTCCTCTTCTCTTTTGGTGACATGCTGTTTCTATTATGACAGCTCTGTAGTATAATTTGAAATCAGGGAAAGTGATACCTCCTACATTTTTTTTTGATTGGACAGGATTATTTTAGCTATCCTGGGTTTTTGTGTTTCTCATATGAAGCTGAAAATTTTCCCTTCAAGTTCTGTGAAGAATTGTGTTGTGATTTTGATGGGGGTTGCATTGAATCTATAGAGTACATTTTTATTAGAATGGCCGTTTTTATTATATTAATTTACCAACCTTTTTAATAGTTTATTTAAAATGTGCTACTGCTTTTTCTTCTGCAGGTGTTTCATGATGTTGCTTACAAAGCTAAAGACCGTAATGACTTGGTGTCAGGAATTGATGAGTTTCTGGATCAGGTTACTGTTCTCCCTCCTGGAGAATGGGACCCAAGCATCCGAATAGAACCTCCCAAAAATGTCCCTTCCCAGGTGGGTAGCTGTGAACACATTCTTTACAATTCTCATAGTTTGTTTCTCTTTAAACTCATGTCCCTAAAATAATGCAATGCATCATAAAGTATCAAATGATTTAATATATTCCAAAAGAGCAAAAACATTAATTTATAAAATGTTCTTTTTTTTCGTGTTAAATTTCCTCTTCTCAATTCTCAGTGAATTTGCCAGCATTCACTTGTTTTATTTATTTATTATTATTTTTATTTAATTTAATTTTTTCTTATCAGTTACATTTTATTAACTCTGTATTACAGCCGTGTCCCGCCCCCTCATTCCCTCCCAATCCCACCCTCCCTCCCTCATCTCTTGATAGGACCTAACACATTGAGAAATTTGGTATTTTGATCATGAGGCACTAAATAAGTTTTATGTGCCTGGAAATATTTCAGACCCAACAAAAATGTATTACATTGGGGGGAGAGTATTAAATTTTATAACAGGAAAATATGGCCTAAGAGAAAGCTTATTATTTTCAGTGTTCTGAAAGTTGACAAGCATTAGGAACTCAAAAGAGGATTAATCATGTTTTGTAAAAACTTCCTATTACTGCTAATGACAGTGAAAACTGGGGAAAGTTTTTCATCATTGTTGTTATGTTTGCATCCTTTCATGTATGGTATACATTATTTTTTTAATCTGCCTATGAAAATCAAATGTGTATTTTAACTATGCTATATTACAGAAGTAAGGAATAAAGAAGGTTGTTAATGCTTAGGGCATTTTCTTATTGCAGGCATGACTGTTGAAAATGGTTGCCAAATGTCTGCAAAACCCTCTCTTCCCATCACCTCTCAGTTCTTCTGGGATCTGCCTCCCACATTCTTCAGTTGTTGCCTTTGGTCCTTAGTGCCCAGAGGGCAGCTTTGTCTCACTCTGATGTTCAGATAAAGGGAGAGGTGGGTCCTACTGACCCAATCCCGGACTTAGATTTTCAGGTCAGTTAGAAGTGGGCAAACTGGCAAGTACGTTACTAAAATCACAAGCTTGTAAAAAAGGTCATGCCAGCTCCTCTGTCAGCTTAAACGTAGGATATTAATATCTCAGGCCTGTGTTTTTTATTTTGAAGTCCTTCTAACATTATTAAGATCTACTTACTTTCCTTAACAATTGCCATTTTGTAGATGTGTAACTGAAATCATATAACTTAAGTTCCTCCTCTACTGTAGTAAAAGCAGTGGCTTAGAGAGTGATTGTAAGGGCTTTCTTCTTTCTCTGCACATACATGCCTTAGCACTAATGATATTAGAAATGTCAACACAAGATGGCTTTCTAAAGTAGTATGAATAGACTATTATTAATTATATTTGGATGTATTTAATGCAACCATGAAGATATTGAGAGTGGTACCCTGTAATTCACTGTTTTGAGGAATGGTGTTTTATAGGCAAGGTGAACGATGGTAAATCTGTATTTTTAAAATTTTAATGAGAAAATAAGAATTAACAAATTGTAGGTATTAGGATATAGTAAAACAAAGAACATTGAATTAGGAATTCTAGTATCTAAGTTCTGAAATTGTGTATTTGTTTGACCTTGAATAAATGCTTTATTCTCTCAGAATTGATGCTTTGTTTCAGAACTGCTCAATAGAATTTCTTCAGTAAAGGAAGCATTCTATAGTTCTACTTCCCAATCACCAAGCTGCTGTTCTATGCGGTTAAATATAGCTACTGCAATTCACAAATTTAATTTTTATTTTAACTTAAATTTGTATAGACACATGATTAAAGGCCATCATATTAGATAGAGAGATTTTATGTAATGAGTATGAAGGAGATATACATTGTATACTTCATTATAATATTAATATTTTAAAACTCCATGCTATATTTAAATACTGGATCATATGAGTCATGTTTTCTTTTATTAAGGGACCAAAATGAACTAGCATATATTAAGCACCTTGATTTCACACTCTTATAAATAATATAATCCTCATCAAATAATTTCTATGGTTTTCATTCTTTTAAAATGTACAGATGACAGCATTTTTAATACATTTCTCTTTTAGTTAAAAAAAAAAAAAACCTGTCATCTCAAGAGATCATCCTGAGATTCTTATTCTTTTATGTCAGTCATTATAATCACTTTCTTACATGCCTTCATCTTCTTTGGTTTTTTTTTTATTTTTTTCTTTTCATGTCATGTTCTTGGTTGTCAAAACCCACAATTCTATGAGGCTTTAACTTTTTACTCTGTAGCCACACTGTTTTGGCCAAAGCAGAAAGGAAAAGGATGGCTTCGTTGACCAGCTTCCCCTTATTTAATGAGCCCTGAATGCGGCCCGTTCACCATCCCGCCCTTCCCGAGGCCGGTGATTCTTTCTATGTGACCATTCCACACCCGTTCTCTCTCAGATTTTTAGCGTCCCCTGTCACCTTTGCTGCTGCGTGTTTACTGTTTCTCTTTCATGAAAATTTTGAAATCATCAAAAAGATTTTTTTTCACAATAGATTGCAGCCAGCACATTTATTTGTTAGCTCAGCCTTCCCTACAACTGATGAAAGGCAACATTTCATTTGTGCGCCAGCCCCATCTCTATGCATCTACTCAAGGACTTTTCTCCGCCAGAATTCCCTCTCTCACTATTATATTAGTCCCTTGTTCTGTGCTATGTCACTATATTAACATTTTTAAGTCACAGTCTTCTACAAAGTAACTGCTTTGACATCATTACCATTGTCAGCCACACATTTTTTGCTTCCCTTTGCACGAGAATGTCATAGAGGACATTTCCTCTACTTCTCTCTGAATACCTATCTCAATAGCTCCCCCATTTGCGTCACTAAAATAGTATCACCAGCAATGCTAGCCACAGTGATAAGAACTGTGCTAACTTACTGGTCTCTATTGCACTTAGCACGTGAATAACAACATTTGATAGGATTGATAATGCCCTTATCCTGAATGTACTTTTTTTTTTTTTTTTTTTGCTTAGTTCCTAAAGAGCACAGTCTCTTGGTGTCTCTCCTGTCTCATGGTTCACTCCTTAGCAGTCTCCATGGCTTCTTTTTCCTCTTCTCTATTTCTTTCTGTTGAGACTGACACTTAGATCACAACCTTGTTCTCTCTATTCATATTTTCCTCTATCTATACTCATATTCTTGGTAATATCCAATGTTAGAATTTTTTCCAAATTTATTTTCTTTCTTTCTTTTTAGGATCAAAGTTTTCATTGTTCTGAGTGTAACAGGGGTCACTCTGCCACAATATGGTTCTAACAGCTAGCATATTAGAATTAGAAAGCCTTCATCGTGTTAGAAACTAGTCAACCAACACTTTCTTAATTTATAATATCTTCATCTAGTAATATAATTTGAGAATGGATTGAATCTCTCAAAATGGGAATTGGTTTTTCTCCAGAGATAGAACTGAACCCAAGTGTTAATCATCTGCCTATCCTATTTCTCTACTTGAATATTTTGAAAGTTTAAGCCAAATTATATATAGTCTCATTTCTTTATATGTCTCTATTTTTGTAGTTACAATTTTGAGAGAAGCAACATATATTTCCAGGAGTATATAAGAATCTCTGAATTTTCTTCAAAATCTATTGTATTTGTATCTTCCTATCTTAGTTAATAGCTAAATACATTCTTATAATTTATTGGACCCAAATAATCTTATTTCATCTTATACCATATAACTATTCCTCCAAAGAATTCTGATAGCTTTGTCTTCTATATTTGTCCAGAATTGTGCTATTTCTCATTGTAGCCATCCTGATTCAACCTACTCTCACTATCACCTTTCTCCTTGGTTTCTTAAATAGTTCCTTGTTGCTTCAGTATATGCCCTGGAATCGCTCCTTAATCTCACAGCCAAAGTAATTCCTACTGTTACATCATTTCTCTCCTTAAAACCTTGTAAATATTTCAAGGTTGGAGAATAGAAGCCAGATAGATATACTGACTAAGTCTCTACCGTCACCTCTTTTTCCTGTGGCTTTATCTCTGTTCCTTTCTTCCATCCTGCTGTTCTTCAAACCTTCCAGTGATTCTGCTCCTTCAGACCACAGCACTAGCTGGTTTTCCTTCCTTGGTATCCTCCAGTTATTCGCATTCCTGATTCTCCCACATCCCTCAGGGTCTCCAAAGTGGCTCTTTCCACAGGGCCTTTTTGAAAACTCAGTTTAAAACTGCTATTCCTACCTCACTTGCCAATCACCTCAGACACTTTGTGCTCTAGCAAACTATAGAATTAAATATTTAATTTTTAAATTTTTCTGTATTTCTTATGAGAATATATGCTCTATACACCTAATTTATCTACTTGTATACTTTTGGGTTTTTCACTAAAAACAATCAAAATACACGTGTTTGTTTCATAACTTAAAATAGATTCTATTTCTTCAGAATATTTATTGATGTTATTTGTGTACATTAAATTTTTCAATGCTTTTTTACTTCTTGACTGAACATGTGCCGCAGAAAAGTTAATATCTTAATTAATTATCACCGATTTTATCAACATTTCACTTTTTAAATGTATAGAGCAAAAGTTAAATTATACAAAGGGGATTATTTCCAGATGGCCAGTTATTATCACTTGTTTTCTGAGTGATATAGAAGCTATGACATGCTTCCCTAGGTAATTGGAAGTAAATAATAATGGTCACTCTTAAATCACTTTATAAATGTTTTATATTTACCTGTGAACATAAGCCCTTCACCAGTTGAAATATATCTTTTCTTTTATATTTAAACTTTAATCTAGTGTATCTTTTCATATAGCTGTAGAAATTCAGAAATACTAATAACAAACTTTTGTATATTATGCTTAACACAAAAATATATTTTGTCATACATAAGATAAACTAATGCATCAATTTTGTGCTTCATATTTATACTGATTCTAGTTTAGAATGACAGTCAAGCACAAGTTTTATTGTAAAACTTAAACATTCTCAACATTTTTTAAGTACTTTTAAACACATTGATACAATATAAGATGACCAGAGGTGAAATTTTAGAGAAGACTTTCTGATTTTTTTCTTTCAAATATCTCTGTCACTGGCAAAGGAAGTGAAATAAATCCAAGGGAAAATAACATCAAATAAATCTCACCAAATCTGCCATTGGTACAAGTTGAATCTTCCTTTTGTGGTAGTATTGTATCTGTGAGTCATGAAGATTTACAGCATAAATTGTCTCTAAAAAGACATGATCTAGAGGAATAGAAAAAAATAATACTTAAAAATAGTGAAATGGACTCTCTGCATTCTGCCCAAAATTTGGCTATGAGTCTCTGCCTCTGCATTGAAACCTCCATCGCTAGAATCTTTCAGAGGTCCTCTGTGGTACAAGACAAGGCTCCTGTCTTGTTCCTTGTCTTCTCCTGCTTCCGTTGTCTATTGCATTTACCCTTCTGAATGAGGATTGAGCATCTTTCCTAGGGTCTTCCTTGTTGTTTACCTTCTTTAGGACTACAGATTTAGCATGTTTATCCTGTATTATATGACTAATATCCACTGATGAGTGAGTATATATCATGTGTGTCTTTCTGCTTCTGGGTTACCTCACTGAAGATGATCTTTCCTAGTGCTCACTATTTGCCTGCAAATTTCATGATTTCCTTGTTTTAGTAGCTGAGTAGTATTCCAGTGTGTAGATATACCACAATTTCTGTATCCATTCCTCCCCTGAGGGACATCTAGGTTATTTCCAGTTTCTGGTTATTACTAATAGAGCTGCTGTGAACATGGTTGAGAAAATGTCCTTGTTGTACACTTGAGCATCTTTTGGATATATGACTAAGAGTGGTATAGCTGGATCTTGAGATAGCACTATTCCTAATTTTCTGAGAAAGCGCCAGATTGATTGTGCAAGTTCACATTCCCACCAGCACTGGAGAAGGGTTTCCCTTTCTCCACATCCTCTCCAGCATGTGTTATCACTTGAGTTTTTTTTAATTTTTATTTTTATATTAATTACATTCTATTTACTTTGTGTCCCAGCTGCACCCCCCTCCTTTATTCCTTCCCAATCCCACCCTCGATCCCTCATCTCTACCCATACCCCTCTCCAAGTCCACTGATAAGGGAGGTCCTCCTTCCCTTCCATCTGACCCTAGCCTATCAGCTCTCATAAGGCCTTGCTGCATTGTCTTCCTCTGTGGCCTGGTAAGGCTGCTCCGCAATCAGAGGGAGGTGTTCAAAGAGCCAGCCCCTGAGTTCAATAGAGACAGGCCCTATTCCCCTTACTAGGGAACCCACTTGGACACTGAGCTGCTATGGGCTACATCTGAGCAGGGGTTCTAGGTTATATCCAAGACACACACGGTATATACTCACTTATAAGTGGATACTAGACATATAACATAGGATAAACACACTGAAATTTGTACACCTAGAGAGGCTAAGCAAGAAGGGGGACTCTGGGTAAGATGATCAATCCTCACACAGAAAGACAAACGGGATGGACATTGGAAGAAGGAGAAAGCAGGAAACAGGACAGGAGTCTACCACAGAGGGCCTCTGAAAGACTTTACCCAGCCAGGTATCAAAGTGTATGCTGAGACTCATAACCAAGCTTTGGGCAGAGTGCGGGTAATCTTATGAAAAAAGGAGGAGATAGTAAGACCTGGAGAGGACAAGAGCTCCACAAGGAGAGCAACAGAACGAAAATATCTGGGTGCAGGGGTCTTCTCTGAGACTGATACTCCAACCAAGGACCATTCATGGATGCATTTTCAAAGGCTAAAGCCACTAAGTCACAGAACCAGTGGTCTTAGCCATTTACACATGCCTCAAGGGGAAACAGTAGTTTTGGCTATAAATGCCCGGCACTGCAACAAAATTCGCACCAACAAATATTCCCTGCAGGAAAAGAGGAAGATTCCTGCTGTACCAAATGGAACAGCAGCTCATGGCGAAGCTGAACAACACGGGGGACATAGTGGACCTGAACTCCAGCGAACTGGAAGGTCAGTGAAAGCCATTTGCATGGGACTTAAATGGTGTGTCATTACTATCTGTCAGGAATTGTTGTTTCAAGATCTAATTTATTTTATACTTTTAATACCTACTCTTTGAGAGTGAAATGCCAATTAATTTGATTTCTCTGAAGTGAATAATGATTGTCACTACTGTTTAAACAGAACAGTGACTATACCATCCCATTTTATTCTAGTCTTTCATTTTATGAAGCAGAAAATACAATCTTAGAATGAATAAGAAAACTGTCAGTTGACGCTTCCAAAATAGCTTGTTAAAAGCTTCAAGTTCAAGATGGAAATAAAACTAAATACCAGGAATTAAGTCCTGTAGACCTTACCTCATTAGATGCTAGTAGGATGTATATAATGGTATTTTTTTATTATTATGCCTGTGATTTGAAAGAGCTATATGATTTTTCTAATCACACACCTTTGAAGAGATGAAAGCTTCAATTTATTTCATAAATTTTTTTTTATGGGTTTTTGACAGCTTGTCTTTCTGCAAGCAATGTGTGAGGAGAAAATCAGAACCCTTGGGTGGATGTTTCTTCAGGGAGTTTGTGTGGACAGCTTCCCTATAATTAAAGACAATTGCCAAGGCTTTGTAGGATTGGGGGCCCTCCCCTTCGGCCATTTTCTGTACTGCCTGCAGTATGCCTACTGCTGACTTTCCAGTTCCTGACAGCTCTGCATTGTAGTTCTCCTGTGTTTTCCCTTTATTGCTGTGTGTCTCTGAGGAAATGTCCTTTAACATCTTCCTTGGCTTCATACTTACTTTTAGATGGTTCAAGTTTTCCCTTTTCCCTTCACTGGAAGCTTTATTACTCATTACTCTTTTTGCTTTCATACTTTCAAATACAGTCTTTTTTAATTTTTAGTGGTATATATTTTTTTTCTTTTTCTCTCAGGTGTAACATGCCACATAGCTTAGATTTTTTTCGAGTTCACTTTTCCTTACTGCTTCCTAAATCCTCCCAGGTCACCAATATCCGGTATCTTCGCTTCTCCAGAGTTCTTCCACAGATTCTGTTGCTGACATGGCTTGAAGTATCCATTATTCATCTGCTCTCCTGGAATTGCTGGTGTACATCTGGGCTGCTCTTGCACTGTTCTTCTGTAATGAACCCCCACTTCTGGATTTAGATCTTTACCTCTAAAAGCACATTTATTACACAGCTATATAACAACTATTCAGACTAATGTATGCTCTAATAAGTAGCTAATTACAAAGCAGTGGTCTAATATAAAATGCTATCAAAACTATAAGTATTAATTACTAATGAATAGTTCATAACTCTCTAAAATTATTTTTAGAACTAGGAAGGATATAAATCATAAATGAATGCATAGCTTAGTAGACTAAATCTAATTCAAACCGTGACTTTGACAAGGTAACATATTACTTGCAAATAGAAACTATACAGCATTTACATGCATGTGTTTGGCTCAACACAGTTAGACCTTATGTGAGGTTTGTAGATGTGTGCATTTCACATGTTCTCTGGAGGCATTGCTGAGTTTCAAATGTCCTTTTGTCTCAGAATTTTACTCTTCATCCTTTCCTGTTGAAGAAATTACTAGAAAAATCAGTGATTTTACACTCACATATCACCAGATGGTTACTGATAGACATGTCTCCCTCAGATCATGAGCATTAAGGGCTAGTGAGATGCTTCAGTGCCAAACCCAGACAACTGAGAATTTTCTCTAGAACCCACATGACAAAGGAGAGAACTGACTCCTCTGACAAACCTCACAAACATACATACAACAAATAAATAAATGAAAACTTCAGTTATCCTGAGTACAATTTCATGGTGATATAGAACTTGGTTCTTAAGAAAAGTCATTTTTGAAATAACACTAAAAATGAACATCCATATAAAAATAACAAAAGTTTAAAATTTTTATGATTCAAGAATATTCAGCATAGTACCAGAATTTAGGAACCTCACAAGTATTGTTTTATTACTTGTTTTTTTTTTTTTTTAATACAAGATCAAACTTACAATCCTGCTTCCTGCCTTTGGAGTGTGGGCTTATTGTCATGTCCCACCCTGTTCAGGTTTAAAATATTTTTAACCATATTGTAATCTTACTCCAAGATCACATCTTTATTCCATGGAGTGAAGTTAACTTTCAGTTTCAAATGTTAAATCTGAGTGTTGTTGTCAAATATTCAAATAATGAGAATACCCACACGTTACTGTTTTCATTTCTAATAGGTTAAAGAATGATAGTGGTCAGATTTTTAAGCATCAATGTACAATTTAAAATACTGAGCCCAAAACAAAACCCTTTGAAGTGTTTCAAGGTGTTTCTCTTTGTCATATTTGGAATTGGTGAATTATTTCCCGGAAAGATCATTATTATCTTGTAATTGACAGGCGTTGGAGTATGTATTGGCAATAATAGATCAAAATAATATTTATCTGGTTTGATTGTGTTAGTTTCCTAAAACTAAAAACAACCTCAGGGTCGACCCAGCTCTATTGAATACTGTTATCCACATGTTTATTTAGTTGTCTTCTTTAAGGGTGTTTTTTTTATTGACAGAGGGACTGGGTGACTGGAGTCATGATTAAACACAGCTTTACTCTCTTTGGGGTGATGTTTACAACTAACATGCACAAAGAAAAGTTGTCTTTCTGTCTCTCATGCTCTGTTATTCTAAATTAAGTGCTATATATATGCATATTATATATATATGTATATATATATATATATATATTATGTATATATATAAACACTTCCAGGGGTGGCAGTGAAGGCCTGAGTTTAGTGTTAATAAAAGAAAGACACAGAAATTGGAATAATCCATGAATCTCATTATTTGAAATTTGATTGGTGAATCCCTGAATCTTGCTTGAGAAAGAGTGATATTTTTTAGTTGTAGGAACAATACTTGGGGTAACGTAGTAGTGCAAAGCTGTTCCTGTAGGTCATCATAATAAAATGTGGTAGTCTAATTTGGGTCTCATCTCTGCTGATGGAAAGTATTACTGTGACCGGGCAACAGAGCAAATGAGCGTTTTAACTTACATGCTTTTTATCTTTGGGTTTCACTATTGTGTTTTCCCCCCATGTCTTAGGATCTTTGGGGGACTTATATTAGATATCAAAAGAAAAGCTCCATTCTTCTGGAGTGACTTCAGAGATGCTTTCAGCCTGCAATGCTTAGCCTCTTTCCTGTTTCTCTACTGTGCGTGTATGTCTCCTGTCATCACATTCGGAGGACTGTTGGGAGAAGCCACTGAAGGTCGAATAGTATGTATTCTGATTTTCTCTAAACTTTGAACCTTAGTCTTTCTTTTAAGATTTGTTTTTATGTTAGTGAGCACTGGATCTTAGATTTAGAGGAGAGATTTGATAACATGGTCCAGAAGATAAACTGGTGATCTCAAAACAGAATGTCTTAGAAATGCGAATTCTGAGTCCTACACAAGGCTGATTATTGCCTGACGCCATGCTCTTAGATCTACAATTTTAGGTCAGTTTTAGGTTGAGTCAGTTTTTCAAAGATCTGAGTCATGCTTCTGTTCAGACACTGATTCTGAAAATATTTAAATATTTCATAAAGCAATAAAAAATGAAGCAGGAAGGTATAGATTATACCTTCCCAGTTGCTGTTACAAATTTTCTACACCTGCTGGCCATTTCCTCAACCATATTTCCCATATACTGCCTAGAGTTTCTGGAGATAACACAGTGAAGGGTAAAAATATATCTTAATATATATATACCAATATATCTGAAATGTTTATACCTATTACAATGGCTGGCAATGTTGTTTAGGTAATAGATCCATTCTTTTTTTTTTTTTTTTTTTCTTTACAGAGTGCAATCGAATCACTCTTTGGAGCATCTATGACTGGGATAGCTTACTCTCTTTTTGGTGGACAACCCCTTACCATATTAGGCAGTACAGGACCTGTTCTGGTCTTTGAAAAGATTTTGTTTAAATTTTGCAAGTAAGTATTGTTACTCGTGGCTGCAGTATGCTTCTTCATTGCTGTGCTCTTTTCTTCACCCAAAATCATCACTTTTGGAGGTCTGTGGGGAGAAGTGAAATTAGCTGGGATGATTCAGTTTGTCATTTTTGTCTGTCAATGGAAATGCAGGAAAAGTTAAAATATTTGTGCATATATTGTGCATGTAAAATTTATAATGCACAATATTTCATTTTAAGCACTGAGAAATCTCCATTATTTTGTTCCCTTAGATTTCTCTATAGACAAAATCTTGAGTTCAGAGACTTATGGGATGTGACATTTCTTCCTTTTACTTCCTGAATTAGGCTTATTTCTGTCTGTCTAAACGTTAGCAAGCTTAAATGGCCATCTTCCCACACTCTGCTATTTTTTCTAGAGAATATGGGCTGTCCTACTTGTCTTTAAGAGCCAGCATCGGGCTTTGGACTGCAACCTTATGCATCATACTTGTGGCCACCGATGCGAGTTCCCTTGTCTGCTATATCACCCGGTTTACTGAAGAAGCCTTTGCATCTCTCATCTGCATCATTTTTATCTATGAAGCCCTGGAGAAGTTGTTTGAGCTCAGCGAAGCCTATCCAATCAATATGCACAACGATTTGGAACTGCTGACGCAGTACTCGTAAGTCCGATTTCCACTCTGGGCTGCCAGTCTCTTCTTCTCACAAATGTTGCTATTGTCTAAGAAATACGAAGACCTTACTCAGTAGAGAGTGTGCCTTAAATTGATTCATGACCTACATTCTGGCTGAAGAGCTGAATAGGATTTTAAGTCATCTAATCAGCCGCACATCTGATTCTTGGGTTCTCATTACAGCATCTCTGCCAAGAACATCGTTCTAAAGCTCTGTTTGTCAAGTGTTTCATAAAATAAACACATAATTAACCAAGTCAGTACAAATACAGATTGGTTCTGTTTTTCCAAACTGTATCGTTTTGCTCTGCTTTTAGGTTCAGATTTAAAGTAACTAAGTGAAAGAAATTTTTAGAGTCTAAGTTGTCGTTGCTGTTTGAAACTGTGATTTAAAAAGGATGAAAACCTAGAACCCCTGCACAGATGTAGCCCATGGCAGCTCAGTCTCCAAATGGGTACCCTAGTAAGGGGAACAGGGACTGTCTCTGACATGAACTCAGTGGCTGGCTCTGTGATCACCTCCCCCTGAGGGGGAAGCAGCCTTACCAGGCCACCGAGGAAGACAATGCAGCCACTCCTGATGAGACCTGATAAGCTAGAGTCAGATGGAGCAGGAGGAAGACCTTCCCTATCAGTGGGCTGGGGGGAGGGTCATGGGAGGAGTGGAGGGAGGGGAGGGTTGGGAGGGGACCAGGGAGGGGGCTACAGCTGGGATACAAAATGAATAAATTGTAATTAATAAAAAAATAAATAAATCTCAAAAATAAATAAAATAAAATTTAAAAAAATATGAAAACCAACACACTTAAGTTGAATTTTTATTTTAGATGTTTGGGATAAAAATATTTAAGTATTAATTGCTGAAGAAGATATTACACTTAAAAACTAAAGATGAATTAGATCTTTCTAATTTTGGTACAGCAGAAATCGGGATTGCTGTCATCTTGCACCTGTAGCTCATCTGTGGTCATTAAGCAGTACTCACATTTTCTCGAGAGCACAAGCTGTGTGAAAGTACCTGGCTGTGTGAAGGCTAAGCGTGAAAATGTGTTGTTCTCTGTGCCTTGTCCACACATACCCCTTCACCAAAATTAAGGAGGTAGAAAGAGCAGAAAGGCTGATTCAAGATAATGAACAGTAAAGTTTTACTGTCAGTGGCACCTGAAATGGCCTAACAGAAGCTGAATGACAGTCTCCTTGGGCACAGTACCGACCAGGTGCTGCTGCTATGCTGAATCCTTTTTTTTTTTTCTTCTTCCTACATTATTATTGTTTGCCACATGTACTTCAGTTTGAATATACAGATCCGTTAAATTCTACCATTAAAATTATTTTTGTAACTTGTACATTTTTATGAATGTGTGGATTTTTATCAGATATTGTCGTGACTTGCTAGGAAAGCAGGGTCAACCTTTTTTGTTAATTGTCATACTATTTTAGTCATGTGTTCTATAGAAATTTTAAAAGTGGCTGCTAACAACAGCCATTTTATTACAGCAGTGTGTGGTGTAATCTGTCTGCTTTGTGGAGTCTGCGTGACATTGTAGTGATTTTCTTAGTACCATTAGTTTTTAAGGCTCATTACACTAATGCCCAACTAAAGTGTTTTACATTAGATAACAGTGGCTTCATTTTTTCACAGGTTTCATTTAAAAAGTTCTTAAAAAATGTTATATCCTGGACACACTGTATCTGAGACTGGGATTTTTACAAATTGAATGTTCCTGTAATCTAATGTATGTTATACTACATATGCCATATGTTTAATTCAGGAAGAAGACCTTGGGGGAAAAGCCAGCATCCTTAGGTTCTTTACTTCAGATATACTTTGATTTTGTGCCTTCTAATGTGACATTACTTACTTTTACTTCCTGAATTAGGCTTATTTCTGCTTGTTTAAACATTAGCAAGCTTAAATGGCCATCTTCCCACACTCTGCTATTTTTCCTAGAGAATATGGTGCTTGTCTTTAAGAGCCAGCACCAAGCTTTGGACCGCAACCCTATACATCATACCTGTGGCCACTGATTTCTCTATGGTGTACCAACCAAACAACAAAATGTTCTTGATTTGAATAAACAACAGCAACAAAACTTTCCTAGTTTTTCTGGCATCTTATCATTACAGTGTAATAAATTTAGACCTTATAATTTAAAAAAAAAAGATACACATTCCTTTATTTTTTTATTTTTTCACATTTATTTATTTATTTATTTATTACATTTATTCACCCTATATCCCTGCTGTAGCCCCCTCCTTGGCCCCTCCCAGTCCCTTCTTCTCTCCCCCTTCTCTCCCTAGGCCCCTTCCATAGTCCACTGATAGGGGAGGTCCTCCTCTCCTTCTATCTGGCCCTAGCCTATCAGGTCTCATCAGAACTAGTTACATCATCTTCTTCTGTGGCCTGGCAAGACTGCACCCCTCAGAGGTAGGTGATCAAAGAGCTGGCCACTGAGTTCATGTCAGAGACAGCCTCTGCCCTCCCCCCCTTAAGAGGGGACCCACTTGGAAACTGAGCAGCCAATGGGCTTCCTCGGAGCAGGGGATCTAGGTCCTCTCCATATATGGACCTTAGTTGGAGTAACAGTCTCTGCAGTTACTTTATTATGCAAAGAACAAGTGTCAAAATAATGTATTGATTTTTTTTCATATATTTTACACCAGATGATCAAACTGAATGTCATGTTAGCAATAAGTAATGAGCTTGAGGGAATCATTTTCCCTGATTGCTTTGATTTTAAGAAATGGCGAAAATACAATGTTATGCTTGTATAAGGTAGATTGTTTCTTTAGTAAATAATAATAATGTTTTCAAGGATGATTAATAAAAGAAAGAGTAAGAATGCAGCATGTGACAATAAAAGAGAACGGGATCATCATGGGGAAGTAAACTAGCAAGTGGGTGCTGGTCTTGCTGGACAATACATGAGAAAGTAAAAATGCCATAGTGAAATCCATTATTTTTTATACTAACTTAAAAGCTAATATTTTTAAAGTATGCATTACCTTTGCTAATATATAAATTAAAGCAAAATTCAGGCTCTATTACTAGAGTTTCCCTATATATATGTAAACTTGCCGCGCCTGTCTCGTCCAGCAAGAAAGACGCAACCACCAGCTCTTCCTCAAGCAGTTTATTCAGGCATTTGCAAGCTTCTTCTCTCTCCGCCCCCCCCCCCCCCGGACCCAGGGCCCTTCCCAATTATATAGGCAACCACATCAGCCAATCACAGCCAGCCACGCTCACTCATCAGACCTGCAGCAGGCAGCCAATGGGCCAGTGTAGCGCTCGCCTTGACCAAACACGGACTTGTTTATCAGCAGTCAGTACATCCGGCGGGCGCCATCTTTTAGGCGTGGCAACTTAATAGCCACGGCTTGCCACATGAACTACAGTTAAATTTAAAAATACTTTCAGTTCCATCCATTTTCCTGCAAATTTCATGATTTCCTTGTTTTTAATAAGCTGAGTAGTATTCCATTGTGTAGATGTACCACAATTTCTGTATCCATTCCTCCCCTGCGGGACATCTAGGTTGTTTCCAGATTCTGGCTATTGCAAATAAAGCTGCTATGAGCATAGTTGAGCAAATGTCCATATTGAATAGTGGGGCATCTTTTGTATATATGCCTAGGAGTAGTTTAGCTGGATCTTGAGGTAGCACTATTCCTAATATTCTGAGAAAGTGCCAGATTCATTTCTAAAGTAGTTGTACAAGTTTGCACTCCCACCAGCAATGGAGGAGGGTTCTCCTTTCTTCACATCCTCTCCAGCATGTGTTATTACTTGAGTTTTTGATCTTAGCCATTCTGATAGGTGTAAGATGGAATCTCAGAGTTGTTTTGATTTGCACTTCCCTGATGACTCAGGATGTTGAGCATTTAAGTGTTTCTCTGTCATTTAATATTCCTCTGTTGAGAATCCTCTGCTTAGGTCTGTACCTTATTTTTAATTCGATTATTTGGTTTTTTATGCCTAATTTCTTTTTTATTAACTACAGTTTATTCACTTTGTAACTCAGCTATAGTGCCCTCTCTCAGCCCCTCCCAATCCCACCCTCATTCTCTCATCTCCTCCCATGCTCCTCCCCAAGTCCACTGATAGAGGAGGTCCTCTTCTCCTTCTCTCTGCCCCTAGACTAGTGGATCTCATGAGGACTGGTTGCATTGTCTTCCTCTGTGGCCTGATAAGGCTGTTCTCCCCTCAGGGGAGGTGATCACAGAGCCAGCCACTGAGTTCATGTCAGAGACAGTCCCTGTTCCCCTTACTAGGAAACCCACTTGGAAACCGAGCTGCCATGAGCTACATCTGTGCAGGGGTTCTAGGTTATCTCCATCATGGTTCATGGTTGGAGTATAAGTCTCAGAAAAGACCCCTGTACCCAAATTTTTTGGTTCTGTTGCTCTCCTTGTGGAGCTCCTGTTCCCTCCAGGTCTTTCTATCTCCCCCTTCTTTCATAAGATTCCCTGCACTTTGCCCAAAGTTTAGCTATGATTCTCAGCATCTGCTTTGATACCCATCTGGGTAGAGTCTTTCAGAAGCCCTCTGTGGTTAGGCTCCTGTGGTGTTGCCTGTTTTCTCCTTCTTCTGATGTCTACCCTGTTTGCCTTTCTGCATGAGGATTGATTGTCTTACCCAGGGTTGTCCTCCTTGCTTAACTTCTTTAGATGTACAAATTTTAGTATGTTTAGCCTGTATTTTATGTCTAATATCCACTTATAAGTGAGTATATACCATGTGTGTTTTTCTGTTTCTGGGATACCTCATTCAGGATGATCTTTTCTAGTTCTCACCATTTGCCTGCAAAGTTCATGATTTCCTTGTTTTTAATTACTGAGTAGCATTCCATTGCATAAATAACCACAATTTCTGTATCCATTCCTCAGCTGAGGAAAATCTTGGGTCTTTCTCAAGCAATTAGGAATATACCACACCCATGCTTATATCCAAAATATGCTCAAGTATACAACAAGGACATCTGCTCAAT